CAGTTTTTAAAAATAGCTAAATGGTGAATCATGGCTTGGGTGCGAAGCTTGCAACTGATCTTTTGCTTTTAAGATCTTTAGGTAGGTTATTTCGCACAGAAAATTCACTTCTTCATTGTCAGCAGGTATAAGAGCCTTAAGCCTTATGTTTTTTGGGTGGACATTTGTTGTTTTGCAACCTTATTGAAGCTTTTTTTAGTTCACTTAAGCTGAATTTTATACATGATGGAATTGTTCTTTGCTTGTCGCCTTTCTTTGCGAGCTTAAAGTGTCGTCTATGGTCCTTAAAGTGTCCTCAGTCGATAATTACATCATATACATAACTGGAGAGAAGTTTTTGCAATAATGCAACTTCAACTTTGTTTGAAGGAAATCTTACTTGGTTTTTGAGAAGTGTCATGCACTTCGCACATGCTGATTTCAACTTAAAACCAACGCTTTACATTGTAAATTAAAATGAGTCAAGTTAAAAATCAAAAGAAGAAAAACCTTAAACTAAGGGTAGAGATTTCAGCGGTAAATAGTGAACTCCAGACACTGAAATCGATCTGGAAACAGTATCCAAACGAGCGTTGATTTCTTGTGTGAGGACCACCATATAACGAAAAGCTTTCGGGCCGCGAGAATATCTCGAAAGAACTTGAATTGACAATCTAAGGCATAAGCTTGAAGCGATTTCTACAGGAGTTGACAGTCTGGACGCCGCCATTCATGACTTACTTAAGTACGGCTTTCAGTATAACGTTAAAGATGTTGGGCTTCCTGAAAGGGACGAGCATGAGTCTGCTGAAACCACCACGCAGTTGCGTTTGAAACTTTTCTATGCCATCGGAGCCGATGGAGTTTTTCGTCTCTAACATTAAAAATATCTGGTTGACCTGGAAAGTTATAATAAAATATTGGGAAAGGGGAAGAAGAGGGAAAAAATTGAAACGAATTAACTTCATTCGTCGAAACGAGCATTCATGTTCAAGATAATGAAGATAATTATTTGAATGTTATTCATTCATTAGGAATACGTAATTTGGTATATATACCTCCAGTTGTAATGTTAGGCTATTATCAAATAACAAAGTCCCTGCACGTGTAATTTACATGTAACTAGCGAAAACGTCTAGTGTTTCTGTCTTTTTATTATTGTATTTCTTTTCTTTTTTAAAAATATGTTATTTTATATCGCCTTGGTTTAAAGTTTTGTCCTACCCTGATTAGCGTAATAGCTATTTGCGGGGCGTACAGTATTCTAAGACTTTATCGTTTTGTTAACAAATACGTTAAAGGCTTGATGTGGTATAGACAAGACCATAGCTCTTGCTGAGATTAGGAAATACTGAACAAGCATACTGAGACCCATTGTCACCAATAAGCTCATCACGTATGCCATGTCGAGCAAATTGACTCTTCAGATGACAGATTATATTGCTGCTGATTGAGTTGTCTAGCATAACAACTTCAATCCACTTCGAATAGTAATCTACATACAGAAGGTAATGATCTCCATTACACTCAAACAAGTCACTTTCAACTTTCGAACATGGTCTGCCAGGGAAGTCTTGAATTATCATTGACTCTCTTGATTGAGCTCTCTGAAACTGGGCGCATAAAGAACACTGAGGCACTTTATCTTCAATTTGGGACAACGTTTCTGGCCAGAATCGAACGTCGCTGGCGCGCTGCTTGCATTTCGCTTTATCTTAGTATGCCTCCTGGATAGGCTTTTGTGTTTTGAATAATATCCCACCAACGTTTGATATTTCATCTCTGCACCAATACTCGCGGACAACTAATGGTAGCTCTTGTTAGTGACTAGGCCATCCATTTCGAACAATTGTGCTTAAGGCTTGCAGGGCTGGATCGTCTGCACTAGCTTGCTGGAAGTCACTGTACCTTTCTTGTGAAATGGGAAGGTAGGCTGTAAGCTGCACTTCGTTTACTGCCAAATTTGGGCTGAGGCTTTCTTCACTCTCTTCCAAAAAAAGCTCTGCTCAATGCATCAGCAACAGAGAGTTCAGACCAGGGTACATATTCCTCTTTTAATTCATAGCGCTACAATGTCAGCATCACCTTCTACAGCCTCAGAGATGGTTCATGTGAGGGCTTGTATAAGGTGTATGGCAATGGCTTGCTGTCTACCTCAACTTCTGTTGTTCCTCCGTAGACATACTGACGAAATTTCTGCACTCCATACACAACCGAAAAAGTTTGCTGTTTCAATTTCTGCTTACTGCTGTCGGGTTTGTGTGAAGGCTCTTGAAGCATAGGCCAGGTGCTTCTCATCTTGCAAAATGATTGTCCCTAACATTTGGAACTTGCACCTAAAGAGATGCATAATTGTTTTCCTGGATCATATTAACAAAATATTGGTGTTGAGGAGGCCATCTGCTCGAGCGTCTGAAAGCTTTCTTCTTGCTTGCCTTCTACATCTGCGAATAGCTCTAACGTACGGTTCTGACACTCCTCGAGAGCTGATTTTATTCCAAATGGTAACCTTGTGAACCGGTATCTTCCGAATGGCGTATTGAATGTGCAAAACGTTGGGCTAGCTTCATCTGATTTCACTTGCCAATATCCAGAGGTGGTGTCAAGGACCGAAAACACTTTTGCTTGAGGCATACCAGCAAAAACGTTTTCTACAGTAGTCATTGGAAAGTGTTCCCTTCTAATTGCTTTTTTTAAATCTCTCGTTTCAATGCAGATGCGAATCTTAGGCACTTATACGGCCGCTATCATACTATCCATCCAGTCAGTAGGCTCTTTCTGCTTTACTACTAGTAGTCAAGCTCTTCTTTGATTTGTTTTCTTTGAGCCAAACAGGCACATTTCTTGGTAGATGCTTGATTCAACTTTGATTGTGTGTTAACCTGGAAGGTAACCTAGGCTTCTGAATATTGCTCATAGATGTTTTGAGACATTCGCATTGGAAACTTTGAGAGGTTCTCTTGCTTATCTAGGTGTACTCGGGCAAGAAGACCAATGTCTATGCAGGTTTGGGCACGAAATACTGTAGGAGCCTCTATTTCAGCTACGTTACGTGGACATTTACATACAACATATTACCTCTGCATTCACAAGGTAATGTCACTACTCCTTTAGTAGGAATTTGATAGCCTGGGAATGTTTTAAGTTTCACTTGAGTCGTCTCATAGGGGTAGCGAGATGCAAAATCTTGCATATAACGTTGGAAGAGATGAAATTGACTTTAGCACCAATATCTAGTTGGACCTTTACAACTTTGCCTTCAATCTTAGGGTCTTCACACCATTCACTTGTGCCTATATCATTAACTGGGGTAGTTCATCCGACAAAAAAATTCATCATCACTACATTCATCTAGACAGTTCACTTATTCTTATCTGGGTTTTTTGACAGGCAAACGATGGCAAAATTATTGAACTTGTAGCATTTTGAACATGTCTTTCCTTGAGCTGGGCATTTGCCTTTGTCATGTTGATAGCCACATCTGCTACAATCTTTTCCAGAGCGTGTTTTTTGTTCCTTGCCTTTACACTATTTATGCTTAGATTTTCTGTTGCCATGGTTTGCAACTGTGCCTGCGATATTTCTTCAGTTTGGGCAATAGAAAGAGCTTTGAGCTTTCGTTAATGCGTTTTTTTCTTTGAAGAATGGCAGCTAATCACAACTCGGTCTCGAGCCATTTCATCGGGGTCAGCATAACCATAAGCTGTTCAAAGGAATCACCGAATTGTTGCACTCTCAAATGAAATTTACACGTGGCAAACACCTTGTTCGATCTGCGCTTCACTTAGGTTTCAAATCTTGTGTATTGGGAATGTGTTCCACACGGTTGGTAGGTCGTTGTTCGTCCAATCCATCTTTGGAACAAAATTTCATTTAATGTCGTCTCCTCAGGTCTGACGGAGGTTTTTGCATATCACTGTTGTAGCTCAGCTCCGTGTTTCCTTTAACGTTTGGAGAAATTCTTTATATTTCAGAACACCATGTTATGTACTGTATCACACTACAGCCAAATTGAATTCTATCCCAGCATGCTTAGGGTACTTTCATGATATTCATGATAGCAAATATGACAAGGTACAAACGCCTTTGTAGGAGTTACCACTAGTAGGGTGTAACTTATCAAGGCAATGATGTAAAGGTAAAAACTTTCAAAAAAGGTTTCTTGCAACTTTTACTTCAACTACTACTACTACTACTACTACTGGTATATATTAGCTGCCACTACTACTTTGGTAATATATAGATTTAGCCAGGGCTAATAGCTAAGCTCTCATTAATAAATTTATAAATTTACTTTGCAAAATCTTGCCAACAACCTATGTGCGTGTAATCCAACCTTTTATACTTTTTATACATCACATCTGGGGTGAAACAGTACTATGAGGCGCTGTTTTTATCATACAGACCTCAGACAAAATGCAGTATTTCTCATTTTTTCAAGACAAATTGCTCTCATTCAATATTCAGAACCATTTCATCATTTGACAGCTGTCAATTGATCACAACATTGACGTGCTATCAGTTTTCTCCTGGGCTCCCTGGGCTCCCAAAATAGTTAGAAAGTGTGAGAGTAAACATTGCATGCCTGCAGTACGGACTGATGGCAGGCGGTCGGTGTACGGTCACGTGATTACCAAATTTTCTAGGATGGTGTAGATTTACTTACCCATGGTGCTCCGCTGGCGCGCACGAGGGTTCCGCTACAAAGAAATCCTCGGGCCGTCGACTTCACTGTGTCCACAAACAGACCATAACTATTCAGGTATGCATCCGTTTTGCCAAGTCCTGTTCTTCAGCATGAAGTCACGAGAAGCGTACCTCTGGAAGTAAAACGTGAACTCTCTAATCAGAAATGTCCAGGTTTAGTGCAATAGTCCCAGTCAGAATCCATGAACATTATGGTTCAATATTTATTTATCTTTTGTTAAAAAGGATAAAAATGGAAAATTGATTATAAAAGTTCAAATCACATTTATTGTTTATTTTTTTATACTTTCCTTTCTTTTTCAATTAAATGTAGGTCGATTGCTAACAACAAGTTGGAGATTATTAAAAATAAGACTTTCTCTGGCCTTAACTACCTATACGAACTGTAAGTGGTGTTTATATATATTTTTTATTGCCTTGATCTGTAGTGTGAAACGTTTGGCCACTCCTTAAGTAGCAGAAGCTAGTACCTCGCTGTTGTGCTCAGGCTAGCGTTCATCGCTCTGTGCAATGGCATCCTTAACTGCGATCCTTTTTATTCAAAGCTGTAAAGGCAAGTTTATTGGAAATAGATTTTACTTTCCTTTGTTTCAAAATCATTTTCGTACGCTACCATACAAACAACGAAAGGCGGTAGATTTCAATCGAGGAAAAAAATAAACAACAAATCAGTAAAATAACCATGCTTTCTCAAAAATATAAGCAAGCAATACAAGTGAATAAATTGTCCAAATCAGACATGACCCAAACCTTAAAGATATCGCATGTAAAGTTGACTACCCAGCATATTATCTTCACAGTTACATGGATAACAACGACATTCACCGCATCGAGGCTACCGGATTCTACCGGATGGGAAAACTCAGATACTTGTAAGCTATGTTTAAACAAATCGACCACAGTTTACCTGATCAGTATATGCAGGCCCTCAATACTTCTGATTAGCTAGCTTGGAGATAAGCAACCTTCCCTATTCAAAAGAGGAACCAGATGCCTCATTGTTGTTTTTTTTGTTGTTGTTTTTTTATTTCTTTGTACCCTTGTTCTTTTCCTTGTCACTAGCGTGACGTTGTTCCCCTTTGTTGTCGTATTCATTATGAAGGCATTGTGGCAGAGTGGTCAGTGCGTCGGACTAGCAATCCGGCGGTCCCGTGTTCGAGTCCCACTCTAGTCGCTTGCTGGATTTGTTCTAGGTCGTTCCGAGTACACATCCTTGGCCATGTTTGCAAATAACTAACTACTTGCCTCCTACCAGTTGGTCTTTCAATACTGTTGGGTTCTATTTGAATTATTCGTTCATAATTATTTATAATAGAAAAATACGCGGAATGTACTTCCCACTATACCAAGCGAAATGAAACAGTCATGGAGATAACCAACTCAAGGTTTAAACAGCAGTCTGACGTGGTTGTTAGTGCTTCCCCCTCCGAATAACTCCAAAATATTACTAACCATGAAGCCTTCATGCAGCAGTCTCTTTCGGAGGCAAATTTAAAAAAATTCTTGGGAGAAAAAGTTTCAATTTGACCAAACCATATTTCAATACTTTTATGTCAACCACCTCGCGCTGTTGTTAGTCACACCTATGGAAAGATTGTTTTTTTTATCTGGTCGTAAATAAAAATTTCCATCGATGAAAGCAACATAGAATGACATAGAATTTGCTCATTGTGTTATTTAATTAGTTATAATTAATCGTTAGATATTTAAGAGGTAACCGATTGCGATACATCGCTTATGGAACATTCTACTACACAAAGAATCTTTACAAACTGTAAGTACCAAAATGTATACCTGTTGTGATAGATGAAAAATTAATTAATCAGTTTACTTTATCTCCTCTATCTATACCTCAGCTTTCTATAAGCTCCTTAGACAAGCTTCAAGGGGTATCTTACTGAAGTAAAATATAGCAGATACGTTATAATAATTGTAAACATAAATTTCTCTCTAACTAAAACAGATGAGACAGTTCGATGAGCGTTCATGCTCGGTTCATTAACACACTCCTAGCTCCGTGTGGTTTGGTATTCGATGGGTCGTCGGTTTATATTACATGAAGTGGAAATAGTTACAGAGACCCACTCGTCCACACCACAGTTAGATGCGCATTAAAATTTTAAACCCAGTAGACAGTTTGTCAAGAGAATTGTAAATTGTAAATTGTAAATATCTTATTATCCACTCCCCTCAGGGCTTTTCAGGGATAATTTACAACACTGGTTGGGGGACTTTGCCAGACTGCTTAGGTGCAGTTTACAAGTAATGAAAGAACGAGTAATGATGCTGCTCCCATACGTGAGTGTGGAAGTGAGATAAACCACAATACCGGGCACTACGCACCCTACTCTTTACGAAGAGTGTGTGGGCTCTTTAACGACCCACAGATTTATTACATGTGCAAGGGCTTGTGATACGGGGCCTACGGTTTATCGTCCTTATCGGAGAAGACTAGAAAGTCTAACCGTTTGTATATGTTATTACAAAGGCAGCACTTTCTCCTCAGGTATTTAAAGACTCTGAGTGTTGGTTCGGCCGGGGTTTGAACCCACGACCTCCCGCTCAGCAGACCGGCGCTCGTCCCATTCAGTTAACCGGGCGGCGGTCAAAGTGTGTAGGCGGCGGTCGAAGTGTGTAGGCGCGGCGATGCTACATATTTTCCCTGATGAAGGCAGCATTGTCGAAACGTCGGAGTTTTATTTGCAATTATCAGCGTTTAACTTACCACCTTCCCACTTTTAACACACACAAACGCTACGCAGGAACCCCCTTTATTTGCGGCAATGTTACAGTGAAGAAGTATTGGACTGATGTAAATGCATTGACAGACAAATAAATAAATAATGCACGGAGTGTGCGGAATATTATTAATTGTATTGAATCTTTCTCTTCCAGCCCTTAAGGCAGGTGAAGTTTTAAGTATTTCAAACTAAATTTATCCAAAAAAATATTTTTCTCTTAGAGACTTATCTAGGAACAACATATCAAGTCTTCCTGATGGAGTGTTTGCAACACTGAAATATCTTCGAGACTTGTAAGTAATGATTTAAAGGTTAACTTTTCCTTGTCATTCCAACAACTTCTTTCACAAAAGAAACGCGAGTGCATATTCTCACTTTTCAAATTTTGGAAACAATACAGAGAAACTGGAAAGCGCAAAGTATTTTCCCACGCAAGGAGACGACTCTCTGTTATGGAGTAAAGTCAGTCTTAAAACAACTGCTGATTTCCCCTCAACGTTAAGTCGGAGCTAGTGTCAGTCACAGGTTACCCAGGCTCTGTCATAGTACCACAGTTCGGTTCCAGTAAAATTACAGTGTTTGTATGAGGTAAAAATACCATCCTAAAATTTCCAGGAAATACTAAATAAAGATCAATGAAACTTACTCTGCAGTTAATTGTTGTTGTCCTTATTGCTCCAACGAAGTTTCGTGATAATTTGCAGTAATTTGTTCAAATTCACACTATATACAATAATAATATACAAGGTAGGAAACACGAGATGCTATTTTCGCCGACATGCTCTCATTCAACACAACGTTTTCCACGAAATTCGAACTCCAACGGAAAGTAAACATGCCAGGATCGTAGAAATAGAATAGCAGCAGATATAGAAACCAATGAAGCTTTCATAGATAGAGAAAAAAAAAAAATTTCATCCCGGGAGTCCTGAGGTGACCTTTCTGGGGACCGATACATCATTTGCCTAAAGTCATCCTCCCCTGCTGAAAAAATACTTGATAGAAGGCAATTTTCGTCCCCCGCGCGCTTTCTATTTTTTCGATTATTGATATTTTGATGGGGATACCCAGCGGGAGCCTCTGCGGAGGAGAGAGGGCAAATGATGTATCGGGAATTTTTTTCTACAGTGCCCAGGCCTCATTTTCTTGGCCGCGCGTTGAACTGGCCCGGCTGCTTCGACAAGCATGTTCTCGGTCTGTTTGGATTATATCCTTCGAGTTTGTCAAAGTCTGTGGGATTCGTTTCTCTATCTGTGAAAGCTTCATTGGTTTCTATATCTGCTGCTATTCTATTTCTACGATCCTGGCATGTTTACTTTCCGTTGGAGTTCGAATTTCGTGGAAAACGTTGTGTTGAATGAGAGCATGTCGGCGAAAATGGCATCTCATGTTTCCTACCTTGTATATTATTATTGTATATTGTGTGAATTTGAACAAATTACTGCAAATTATCACGAAACTTCGTTGGAGCAATAAGGACAACAACAATTAACTGCAGAGTAAGTTTCATTGATCTTTATTTAGTATTTCCTGGAAATTTTAGGATGGTATTTTTACCCCATACAAACACTGTAATTTTACTGGAACCGTACTGTAGTACTATGACAGAGCCTGGGTTACCTGTGGTGTCAGTAAGACAATTTACCACAAGATCCTTTAAGGTTGCGTGTTACAGCACAGTAGTGACAATAGTGCCAGAAAAATGTCAGATTAACGGATCAAAACGCAATGGGCACAGTTGTTTCTTTTACATCTTCTACAGGAATCTCAGTAAAAATGCTCTAAGGCACATCAGGACTGGAACTTTTCGACGCTTACCTCGGTTAAAATACTTGTAAGTATAGCTCTGAAACATCCGCTTTTACGAAATTTGGATGCATGACCAACCAAATTTTCTCCGTGAAAACGACTTCTCCCTTATTCAAGTCAATCTATCAAGAAGCATGAAAAAAAGACATCCCGGATAAAATACGTTTTTAATCTTTGTCAAACATGTTGATAAGCCTGCATGTCAAGATTTATAAATCGCTCCATTGTGAGATTTGCTCTGTGCTATAAGATTCCAAAGTATAAAGAAGGAAGCTACCTAAAGAACAGTGACAGATTGCTTTTTTATCATTTTTTCCACAACAGGTATTTGGACTTTAATGGTATAAAGGCAATTGACCCGAGGTCTTTTTCCTCCTCAAGGCCGCTGTATTTTTTGTAAGAACAAAACCTTATATTCTTGTATTTGGTATTTTCTAATTTTCTGGTTTTTCAACTTTGTTATCATTCTTACCATTATTAAAAATATACGGCTTGAATTAAGTACTGTTTAAAAAGCGAGCAGGAGTGTATTATCAGGTTTACAAACTCGAGGCGAAGCCGAGAGTTTTTACACCTGATAATACACGACTGCCACTTTCTGTAGTTGCGGATCAGCGACTAACAACTGTCAATAGTTCAGGATCAGCCTCGATACATACATGTATATTTTATTGTAATATACTAATGTGAATACCTTGTTTGTCCAAATAAGGAATTTCTTAAAGATCTTTTATTTCTTAGATTATTTTTTTCCAAAGTTAAATTCTCATATTAACAAATATAACTGATCATTCTTTTGCTTATCTAGAAACTTGGACGGGAACCAGCTTACAAGAATCAATGATACAACCTTCCTTCGTCTTGAATACCTACATCAATTGTAAGTCAGGTTAACTTGAAGTGAAGCCCGGAAAATTGCCTCTGGGGAAGAATTAAATTTGAAGTTCATTAATATTGAGATCACCGTTCGTTTCAATATCGCGTTCTTCACCTGAACAGTTTGAAGCAGGGGCCCCCATAGCCTTGGTCTAAACAGCCTTTCTTGTAGCGAGGGGTACAATTTTATTTTTTCAGTGATGTATTTTCTTTGTAAATACTTTTAATATAAACTTTGGTGTATATCATTTGTTCCCTAAATGATTTCAGGTCTATGTGTGTGTAATTGATCTCGTTCTTTTCCGACAGGAATTTGCAAAATAATTATATTCGAGAAATAGGTAAAGACTCTTTCAAACAAATGAAGCATCTGACCTATCTGTAAGTTGAAAATTTATTGTTTTAATGTTTAATGACATGGTGTGGATAATCTTTGAAACAATTGAGATAACATACTTATCCCTTGCTTCAATAAAAATCTGTTATGCTTTAAGACATATTCAAAAAATATTAACAATTCATAAAGAAAAAGCGAAAGAAATCAATGTTTAATAAGGGCCTATATATCTGATAAAGAAACTTCACGTCCAGCTTTTTAGACCAAAATAACCCCAGTTCTAAATATTAGTGCAAGAATGATTCGATATATATCTGAGATTTGGAAGCCGTTAAAAAAAATCGTAGTCGTGTATTTTTAGGTGTAAAAACTGTCAGCTTTGCCTCGAGTTTTTAAATTTGATAATACACTCCTGCTCGTTCTTTAAACATTACTTCATCCTTGATGCTTTGTACCGAATTATATGTTACACAATTATGCCATTACATTAATACTAGTAAATTAAAGTCACAAATTGCTTGTCAATTTTGAATAAATCAAACTCATATTTAAATTTTATCATTTTTAAGAGAAAACTCAAGCAATCATGTCTAAAAAACGGAATAAAAAGTAAATATTTGGTTTATGTTGGAGGTGTTCTTGGGCGCTTTTGCTGGTTTGCAGGCACTACACTGACAAAATAATAGAAAAATGTCATTAAACCACCAAACACCCAAACGGCCAGAGGCAACTACTGTAGCTAGCTATTCACTATCATGATCAATAATATGAATTCCAGACTACTGAGAAGCAAGCTTACATGCGATAAACACGTTACTCTCTATATAGAAGAGCAATAGTGTATTAGCTCTCTTGGCTAGCACCCATGCTTAAGACGAGGGTAGTGGAAAATAATGAGCGAGGTTTATATGCAATTTTTAAAGTGGTTTTCGGTCTTATTTTCTGGTTCTCTTTGGAGCGTTACAACTAGTGGCAGTGATGGGATCCACGCCTCGTAAAGATGAAATGTTGGTATTAGTGCATTAGTTTGAAGTATGAAACATTTATTATTATTATTATTATTTTATTAACATGGAAAAAAATTTTGAACAGCAAACATGTCTTTTCTGAAGCACGCTCAGAACGTTAAGTAATGACATTAAAATGGAGTTAAGCCTTCAAAATTGTGCAAACAAAACAGTCGGAAGCGGATAACTGTTTGAAATATCGACATAAAGTTAGAAGAAGAAATAATATGGTCACACATATACCATAATACAAGCAAAGAAGATAGAATGTAGCCCTTGTGAATGATAGAGAGTAGTGGTGGAGGGACCGGTTACTCCGGTTCTTTGCGGATTTAATTAACTTTTTGTGCGGTATAAATTAACGTAGATGACGTCATGCATTAGATTAAGATAGGATGATGTCATAGTTTAAATTAATGCTGATGACGTGATGCATTAGATTAAGATAGGATGATGTCATAGTTTATTTTTAGCTGGCTGACGTCATGCATATCATATAGATAGGATGATGTCATAGTTTATTTGTAGCTGGCAAGGAGCAAGTGACGTCAGAATTTCCTAGAGTTGACGTCATCAAAAAATGTTGAGATCATAATCTATAAACAGAAAAGTGATTTTTATATAATTAGCCATTTGCTACAGTCTTCTGATTAGATATTGTTTGCTATAGTCTTCTGATTGGATATTGTAGAAACTGTTGTGTTCAAAATAAAAGCGGGCAAATTTTGAACGTGTTATCTTTGCAGATTATACTAAATGAAAAATCTTTAATCATTAAATTAATTATTTTCACTAAAAATCGGTTATAAACAAAACCAAGACATGGAGGTTAACTGAACAATCTTTACTTCAAAAGAAGGGAAAAGGAGGTTAAGCGAATGCGAAATCGTATTAATTTTTCGGACAAAACATGAAAACGAGGTCGAAGCTCAGCGAAGCGAAGAACTGCTTATCAAGCAAAAATGTCAATCGTTGTTTACTTGACTCTGTAGAAAGTATTGCACAGGGTATAAAAATTCTATAGAAAACAACAGGTGCTCCTAAAGTAAACCCTAACTCTTTTGGTTCTTAAATAAACCCCATTCTTGTTCCTGAGTGGAAAGTCTATTAAAAAAAAGATAGGAAAAAGAGGTGCGATCGCCTAGCAACACATGTCTTCTTGTTTAGCGGTAAAAATCGGATATATAAACAAAACACACACACACACATACACAGAGTGGAGCTGAAAACTCTCTATTTCAATTTTGACTCACCATTACGAAAGCGTTTTCTCCGTTCTATCTCGAGGAAACGACTAACTATTGAAATCTCAGCGCTTGATGCGCTTATGGTCTTGTCAATTCAAGCGCCGTTAGCGTTAGTCAGTTAATTATGCGGGTTAACAAGCCCAAACTTGAATACAAATTAGTTCATCTCTACAGCTAAACCCAAGGGAGCGCCTTGACTTGTTATTGTAAAAACACAAACAATTAATAAGTTAACAAGGATCAATTTAAACACGCGACAAATCAGTTGACAAGACACGAGATACAGTTTTAAAAACTTTATTGAAAACCAGTGACAAAAAGAGTCAAATACACAGCGATGTGGAAGGGATGGAAATTAGTCCTCCTCTTCGTTCTCCTCTTTAGAAGGTGAATAAAAATTGGTTTCCAACGTCTTGGTGTTTTTGTGTGTAATTAATCCACAATCGTGACACCGAAGAAAGCCCTCTTTGATGTATTTTCTCTCCTCGGGGATCTGGTGATCGCATATAGGACAAATCTTGTAGTTATCGTGCCAAAAGCATTTAGGACATTTCATGATCAATGTGGAGTACACATTAGAGTTTTCGCAATGTTCACAGGGACTTTTAGAGTGAAAGGTGGTGGACGTTTCAGGGCTACTACTTTCTGTTTCCTCACTATCATTTTCAGTGTCGTTGTCGCTCTCTTGGGTGCCTTCAGTTTCAACGCCATTCTCAGAAGCCACTTCCTCCTCCTCCTCCTGATTTTCAATATCCCATGAACTCTCCTCATTATTACTCTCATTATCGGAAGTATTTTCTACATTTCGGTAGCCTTTTTCTTTTTCTATTAAATCACTTAACAACTTTTTGTTCTTGATTAAACCTTTATCGATTCCTAACTCTGCAAGTCCATCTAGAAACGTATTCAGCGCACGAGGCTTGGTAACCTCATTGTTATGAGGGAGTAACACATACTCAACTAGCTCGGCGATGTTTGTGACGGGAATAGTGCGAAGTAATTGTCCGCTGGGAGTCCAGAAAAGAATATCTTTGGACGCGGCCATACTATGCAGCAAATCAGAAGCACGCTTTTCCGACACTGCTCGGGAAAGATGACTCAAAACATCTTTTATTCTTGGTTCTTCTTTTATTCTTGGTTTTTCATCCTCGCTTTCATCACCAGAACTTTCGCTTTCTTCATGTTCACTCTCGTGTTCTTCTTCAACCAAATCTATCTTTCTCTTCATTTTGATGAGTACCCGTGACAGACCGTAGCTTCAAATTAGTAACTTATAGTTTCGTTTCCTCTTTTATAGCATCAAAAATCCTAGGCTTGTAAAGGCAGGTACCAACAGGTCTTGAATAAAACCATCGCCCTCTTGTACAAGGATTCGCTTCTTTGTTTTGTAAGGGACATTTGTTTCTGCTAGGTTTACTAGAGCATCCTTATATGGCAACACGTTCCGCTTATTTCTTCGGGGATAAGAATGTATTCCTTAAGTATATTGTATAAGACTTGGACTAATGCATGTAGTTGTTGTGGACTGGCTGTCCGTAAAAGAAACTGTCGCTGATGAGCTGGACAAACAGCTAAGAATTGAAGAAAACCACGATTGTTCTTGACAACTTGAGACATTGGTTCAAAGTGAACTAAGGATGGCAGTTGGCAGTCTTTTATAGAATCTCGTGGAGAAAAAAAAATGAAACGAGTGCGCGAAGGATAGAAAACAATAGAATGAGGAGGAGGAGGAGGAGGAAAGAAAACAACAGAAATGTGGTGGTGGTGGTAGTGGTGGTTTTAGGGGAGGTTTTATGGCCTGAAAACCTATATAAATGCGCAACATTCTACCTCTTTCTCAGTCTACATTTTGCTCCTGAGGAGCTGACATGAGTTGGCTCTGTTCTGTCTGCGAAAAGTCCTTTAGTAGAAAAGATAATATGCAAAGGCACGTGATGTCTAAACACCGCAATGCTGGTCTCACCCCATTTCAAACAGTTCCAATATTTTCACAGAAATGTCAGCGGTTTCGCTTCGAGCACCCTTTCACCTCCATGATTTCCGGAATGACCGGGTCCGGAAAAACGGCCTGGCTTCGATCGCTATTGCAACAAGCTTCAGAGACCATTTACCCTCCCCCGGAGAGGATCGTTTGGTGTTATTCACAATGGTAGCTTGCGTATACACAAATGTTAGTCGCCATGCCAAACATTGAATTCGTCAAGGGAATTCCTACAGCTTTGGAGCAGGATTCCTTTTTTGGTGTGAACAAACGGAATTTGATCGTGTTTGATGATCAGATGATTTACTCGTGGTTCTCATCATCGCAAATCTGAGCGTGATTTACATCGTGCAGAATCTATTTCACCAGGGGAAAGGTAGCCGCAGCATAAGCCTAAACAGCCATTATCTGGTGTTATTCAAGAATCCACGAGACAAATTGCAAATCTTGAAACTGGCGAGGCAAATATATCCCGGGCAGACGGATTTCTTTTTAAATCAGTACGAAGAAGCTGTAAAAAGACCGTTTGGTTATCTTCTGATTGATCTGAAAACTACTACCCAAGATAATTGTCGGTTGCGAACAAACGTCCTGCCCAGTGAAGAAGGCTTTAACCAAGCAGGGTTTCAAGAAAATATTCCTCAAGAGCTTCTAAAATATCTGAAGCAGCAAACTCTTTCGCCTGTCCCACTTCTTCCAGCTATGCAAGAAATACAAGACAACATGGATGACGTGCTTTCTCGAAACGATCTTCGGGACGATGAAAAAGCTAAACGATACCTTCAGTTGCAAAACAGATACCTGGCTTTTAAAGAACAATTAAATACAAGAACACGACCGGAAGAAATAATCAGCACTTTTCCAGACTTAACATCAAGCACACAAGATTCTTCGACAGCAACGGCAGCATTCTCCACTCCCATTAACCCCTTCAACGTAACACCTAAATTAACACAAGCGGCTATCTTACAAAAACCTGAAAACGAAAGCTCCAACCCACCACTAACCTTAAATCCTGGTTTCCTGACCCCTCCTCCCACAGTAGAAACCCCATCACAAGGCCCGAAGCGCAAAAGGCGTCGGATTCAATTTGTAAATTATTTGGATGATCATAATGCTCATGGCAAACAGAGGAAACGAGTTCGGCATAAGAAATTTCGAGTTAGACCTTACAAGTACTCCATGGGCGAAGAAGATGATTAATTTCCATCCCTTCCACATCGCTGTGTATTCGACTCTTTTTGTCACTGGTTTTCAATAAAGTTTTTAAAACTGTATCTCGTGTCTTGTCAATTGATTTGTCGCGTGTTTTAATTGATCCTTGTTAAGTTATTAATTGTTTGTGTTTTTACAATAATAAGTCAAGGTGCTCCCTTGGGTCTAGCTGTACAGATGAACTAATTTATATTCAAGTTTGGGCTTGTTAACCCGCATAATTAACTGACTAACGGCGACCATAAGCTCCTCAAGCGCTGAGTCGTTTCCTCGAGATAGAACGCGTTATAAGATTATTCAATGAAGCTAAATTCAACAACTAGTAGAGACTATTCTAACATGTTCGAAGTCGAAAACACAACGCACGTGGTCGCCGTTTTCGGGGTGCGCATGTAAGTCAGTCAGGGGCCCCTAAGGGGGATCCCCACAGGTTTCAATGTTACAACATCTCCCCCCTAACACGATTCAATGAGTCTTTGCGGCCTCCTAACTTGACGCCCAGATCTGGTTGTAGTGAGAGTCGGTGAAATTGTTTCTGCCTGTCTCTCTAGTGTCACTGGACTTGGCGCTGGCTTCTCAACTACAAGTGGCTGTCTTGTACTCACAGGAGAGTCACGAGGTTGGGTACTTATGGGAGGAGCCCTTGTCCTTGGGGTCATGGGAGAATCATTTGGAACAGAGAGGATCTGTCTCCTATTTCTCCTGTAAGCACGTCCATATTCATCTTCCAGGATGTATGATCTTGGCATTACTTCAGCTTTGCGCCATTCCCTCTCACCATTTGGACGAAACCGCACCTTGTCCCCAACTTCCAGTGGAGGCAAATCTCTACTCTGCTTGTCATAATTACACTTGGCATTATACTGTCGCTGATGAAGTGTTTTCAGAACATGATCACGATCCACTGGCTGAGGTAACAAGAGACGTCGATGAGTTGGTATCATTGTTCGAGTTCGTCGACTCATCAGCAGCTGGGCAGGTGACACACCGATATCTTCGAATGGGGTGTTAACAGTCCCTCAAATGGGTCTTTGTTCTCTGCAGCAGCCTTCTTAAGAATGCGTTTTGCGGTTTGTACAGCTCTTTCCGCTGCGCCATTTGATTGAGGATACTCTGGTGAACTGGTTGTATGGGAAAATCCCCACTCCTCAGCGAATTTCTTGAACTCATGGTTGTTGCTGAACAAATTTCTGGTGTTGCTGTACTGCGGTCCGTTGTCGCTGACAACTTTCTCTGGGATTCCAAACCTCGCATATATTTTCTTCAAGTTGTTGACGACACAAATGGCAGTGTTCTGGCGAATCAGTTCTATTTCAAAGTACTTCGAATAGAAGTCAGTGACTAACAGGTACGTTTGGCCACCATATTGAAACAGGTCAGTCCCAACAACTTGCCAAGGTAATCCTGGAATGTCATGAGGATGTAATGTCTCTCTCTGTTGTTGTCGGTTGCGGAAAGCATTACATACGGCACAGGAAGTGACTTTTTCTTTGATTTGGGCAGTCATGGAAGGCCAGAAAACATAATCCCTCGCAAAGGAAAGGCTTTTGCTCTCTCCCATGTGAGCTCCATGAATTTCATCTAACACTTCAGCTCTCAATGGTCTTGGCACCACAATTCTGTCTGATTTAAATAGCATGCCATCCTCGACACTCAGTTCTTCTCTGAAATTCCAATATTCCCGGGCAAGTTCATCAACTTGTTCTTTCTCAGAGGGCCAGCCTTGCAAAACGTACTCCATCACCACTCTTGATGTCTCATCAGCACTTGAGCTGTCCTTGAATCTCTTCAGGGTGCTGCTTTCTAATCCAAGTTCCTCAACAAGATTAACTCCGATTACATCTTCGGGTTCACTGAACGGTTCAGTTTCACTGAGAGGTGCTCTGCTAAGGCAGTCTGAAAAGACCTGCTGTTTTCCGGGGACATAACGCACCAAAAGGTCATACTTAGTGAGTTTGAGCAACATCCTCTGTAGCCTGGGAGGGGCCTCATTCAGTGGTTTCCGAAAGATTGACTCCAGCGGTTTGTGGTCTGTCTCAACAATAACTCTGCGCCCATACACATATGTGTGAAACTTTTGCGCTCCCCATACAATTGCTAACAGCTCTCTTTCAATATTTGCATACATCTTCTCTGGGGAAGTCAATGTCTTTGAACTGAAGGCAACTGGTTTGCCCTCCTGCATGATCACTGCACCAAGGCCTGTGCTACTGGCATCAACACTTAGCACCGTTTCTTTGCTGTTATCAAAGTATGCTAACACTGGCGCACTAGTGATGACAGACTTGAGCTTATCAAAAGCCTCTTGTTGTGGTTTCTCCCACACAAATGCGACATCTTTCTGGGTAAGCTGTGAAATTGGCTCTTGTAGATTGGCTTTGTGTTCAATGAACTTGTCTAGGTAATCGACAGTTCCTAGTATTCGAAGTACACCTTCTTTGTCAGAAGGAGGAGGCATCTCACTGATCGCGCGGATTTTATCAGGGTCAGGTTTCAATCCTTCGGCCGAGAACACATGTCCAACATAGCTTACTTCAGGAACACGAAGTTTCACTTTCTTTGGATTGAACTTCAATCCGACTTCTCTGCTTCTATCCAGTACTCTTCTCAACTTCTGATCAGCATCGGTTTGATCTTTACCATGAATCAGGAAATCATCCACTATAATCTCCACAGGAACCCCTTCAAAGAGTTTGTCCATCTCCCTTTGGTAGATTTCAGGGGCAGAAGAGATGCCAAAAGGGAGTCTTGTAAATCGATATCGACCCCAGGGGGTATTGAATGTTAAGAGCTTTGAGCTTTCATCATCCACTGGAAGCAGCCAGTATCCACTGCAAGCATCAAGGGACATGAAACTCTTCGCACCCGATAATCGGTTGGCAACCTCCTCTACAGTGGATAGTGTGGTCTCTTAAGAGCTTTGTTTAGGTCCCTTGGGTCAATACAAATTCGAACATCATTCTTTGAGAGTGGAGTGTTCTTTTCTTTCACTTTTCGTTTGTCAATCACTAGCATAGATGAAACCCAAGGGGTATGTTCCTCTTCTTTAACAATAATCCCATCTTCTTCCATCTCTGTGAGCTTCTCTCGTGTTGGTTCAAGAAGTGCAATTGGAATTTTTCTGAGAGGATGTACCACTGGAGGAACTGACGGATCAACTTCCAAATGTACTTTGTTAGGTAGCTTGCCAGGTTTATCACTAAAACAATCTTTATAATCCTGCAACACAGGATCGGTTTGGAAGAAACTTGGCATTTCTTGCTCTGGTTGTTTGGACTCTGGAGTAGTTATCAGTTCAAGGTTCATAAACTCAAGGACTTCTAAGTCTAAACAAGCATCACAACCCAGCAATGGTGTAAAATTTCCATCAACAACAAGATACAACAGGTTAAGTTCACGACTCCCATAACAAGTTGGAAGTCTCACAGAGCCCTTTGGATGGATGGGTTTAGGGGCAAGCCACCCCTTTAAAGGTTGCTGAATTTTCTGAAGAGGTTTGCTTGTGATTTCCTTGTACAGCTTATAGGGAATGACTGTAGCTTCTGCACCAGTATCTGCTTTGAACTGTACATCTTTCCCAGCAATTTTGACAGTAATCAAGCTCCTAGATTTCTTTAGAGTGCCGGAGACACTATCCAGCTCAACTGATCCAAAATATGTATGCACATCGTGATTCATTGGAGGCTCATGTTCCACAGCTGCAAATTGTGAACCTTCAGCACTTAATTCCTTGCACACTTGTGCAAAGTGTCCTTCCTTCTTACACTTGTTGCATTTCTTTCCTAGAGCTGGGCAGCGAGGTGGCTGAGTAAGTGGGTGCTTGTAACCACAAAATGTACAGTTACGAACGGGTGTCTTTTCTTGAACCTTGACTTTCCTGAGAGGATGAAGTGAACGTTCGGAACCCGCATCTGTTGGTGTATTAAACTTGTATTTCGGTAGTTCGGCTGCCTCGAATGTACGGCAATAATCATGAGCAGTTTGCAGCGTTAAATCTGGTTTCTTCACCAGTTCACCTCGCAATTCGTCTGACAAAACTCCTCCCACAATACGATCACGAATGAGCGAATCTCGAAGGTCGCCAAATTCACAAGTTAACGACAGTCTTTTCAGTTCACTGACGAAATTGTCAATCCTCTCACCTTCCTTCTGGTTTCGCTGATTAAACACCAGCCGCTCATAAATTACATTTCTAGCACCCTGGCACAATTCCTCGAATTTGCGACAGACATCTTGATAGCAATCTTTGTCTTCTTCATCGGTAAACACAAAGTGACTGTACTCTTCGATAGCTTCTGGTCCAGCACAATGTAACAACATATTTACCTTCAGTTTGTCCGCTTTATCGTCTTTACCTTTCGCAACAAGGTAAATCTCAAATTGCATGAAAAATTTCCTCCAGTTCTTGGCAGCATTCGCGTCTAGGAGCAATGGGCCTGGCATTCGAGAATCTCGCTCGGCCATTATACAAGATACAGAAATACAACTCAACAGGAAACTTGTTTGTCCCATCAACTCGTCCAATAATTTCTCACAGTTCGGCAGGGCAGATAACCACTGTTATCCCACTTCTGACACCATGTTATAAGATCATTCAATGAAGCTAAATTCAACAACTAGTAGAGACTATTCTAACATGTTCGAAGTCGAAAACACAACGCACGCGGTCGCCGTTTTCGGGGTGCGCATGTAAGTCAGTCAGGGGCCCCTAAGGGGGATCCCCACAGGTTTCAATGTAACCTGCGATCAGGCGATTTTTTATTTATTTTTTTTTTTTGGCGGGGGAAAAAAAATCGCCTGATCGCAGGTTAGTTTCAATGTTACAACAGAACGGAGAAAACGCTTTCGTAATGGTGAGTCAAAATTGAAATAGAGAGTTTTAAGCTCCACTCTGTGTATGTGTGTGTATGTGTGTTTTGTTTATATATACCGATTTTTAGCGCTAAACAAGAAGACATGTGTTGCCAGGCGATCGCACCTCTTATTCCTATTTTTATAAATAGACTTTCCACTCATTAGGAACAAGAACGGAGCGGAGTTGATTTAAGAACCAAAAGAGTTAGGGTTTACTTTAGAACCACCTGTTGTTTTCTATAGAATTTTCATACCCTGTGCAATACTTTCTACAGAGTCAAGTAAACAAAAAATGACATTTTTGCTTGATAGGCAGTTTTTCGCTTCGCTGAGCTTCGACCTCGTTTTCATGTTTTGCCTGAAAAATGAGAACGATTTCGCATTCGCTTAGCCTCCTTTTCCCTTCTTTTGAAGAAAAGATTTTTCAGTTAACCTCCGTGTCTTGGTTTTGTTTATAACCGATTTTTAGTGAAAATAATTTAATGATTAAAGATTTTTTATTTAGTATAATCTGCAAAGATAACACGTTCAAAATTTGCCCGCTTTTATTTTGAACACAACAGTTTCTACAATATCCAATCAGAAGACTATAGCAAACAATATCTAATCAGAAGACTGTAGCAAATGGCTAATTATATAAAAATCACTTTTCTGTTTATAGATTATGATCTTAACATTTTTTGATGACGTCAACTCTAGGAAATTCTGACGTCACTTGCTCCTTGCCAGCTACAAATAAACTATGACATCATCCTATCTATATGATATGCATGACGTCAGCCAGCTAAAAATAAACTATGACATCATCCTATCTTAATCTAATGCATGACGTCATCCACGTTAATTTATACCGCACAAAAAGTTAATTAAATCCGCAAAGAACCGGAGTAACCGGTCCCTCCTCCACTACTATAGAGAGATCAGAAAAGAGTGTCACCAAAGATTCTGGCTAGTTTGGAAGAGTGAGCATAATGCCACCAAAAGAGTAAACGCATGCAATTAACACCCTTGATGTTCCTGTGGCGTGGGCCTCATAACTTCAACATTGAAACAGTTTGTCACCTACTTGACAACCAAGGAAAGGCTTACCACAAAACAAAGCGGCAACAAAAAATGTTTCTCTACTGAGACGTCTTTAATTCACACAACTGATGCACTTCTCAAAGGAATTGATGATAAGAAATTGACTGCCTGAGTGCTTTTAGATATGAGTAAAGCCTTCGACAGCGTTGAACACCAAATATTGTTACGTAAAATACAAAGCGTCGGTTTAACAGCTACCTTTCAAATAGATATCAAGTTGTACGAATTCATAGTTCCGTTTCTGATCCTCTTCCAGTTGAATGTGGCGTTCCTCAAGGCAGTATTCTAGGTCCCCTAACTTAAGTTTAAAACATGGTAATTAGTGATTAGCTAACATTGTCATTAGTATTAGATTAAGTGTTGTGATTATTTATAATAAATAATGTAATATAATCATTGTTCCTGGAAAGCCCCTTTAGGGAGGTAACAATCAAGTATCTATGTATGTAACATTACTTTCGCTTGAACACCCTCAACAGAGAGCACTTAATATTTCTTTAGTCTAAGCTTAAGACGCCACTCGAACTGACATAAGCAGGGCAAAAGTTTCCCTTTCATGCCAAAAATTTGAACATTGATTCAACCAATTTTAACCTACAGTAGTTTGGGTTGCTTTGGTGATATCCGATTTTAAGTTGAGGGATGGCTCCGGAATTGGAAAAACATTAAAGTTTCTGTAAACACTATTCAGAAGTACTTAACAAGTCATCCAAGCCGTAACTGCCCCTTCTTGACTTAATTGTCAATCAGGATTGTCATCCGCGTAACAGTGAACGCTTGTTAGATGTGCATTTGCGATCTCAAACAGCTACTGGGGAAAGTAACGAAAAGTAGGTGCCCAAGCCAGGAACCTTAATTGAGGAACACCGAGCCGAAAAGGAATACTATCAGAGAGAGTGCCTTTGACGTAGACACCTTGGCTCTTATTCAAGCATGCTTAACGTTTTCCGATACTTGGGATCTTGGTTGAAAAATCACGATCAAAACACTGTGATCGACGGTTGAGTGCTTAAATCTATAAGAAATAGAAACTACCGATACTGTTAGTGATGTATATGTACTGCAGGTGAATCGAAAGAGATAAACCACAGCCACTGGACGAAGTTTTGCTTACTGCTTTCTTGCATTGTTTTTTTTTTTACTGTGACCCCACTGTAATCCATGCAAGAAGAAATTTTACCAAAGTAACTTATGCCGCGTTTAGACTTGAACGGTTTACTGAGGTACGAGAGTTTACTTACCCAGGTAAACATTTTCCGTGTGTAAACGCTAACTAATACTTCGGTAAATGCCGCAAAAGACAAAAGAAATTTAACCAAGGTAAAAGTTGTAACTACCCTGTGATCAGGCATGGTTACAGTTGGTAACCAAGGTCAAGATGACAGATATATCCGCTTGTGGCGGTGTAATATGTCACATCCCGCGGTGAGCAGATCGTGCGATTGTCACGTTTCTATCATGGCAGATAACAGAGAAGTCAGGGAACGATTGGATCGATCTTCGTACGGCGAACAATCCGTCAGGTAAAAGAAGGCATTGTATTTTTCATTTTCAGTATTATTTACGGCCATGCCCACACACGTCTAGCTCGTCTGGTATTTTTTAAAGCAATTTGGAGTAAAACCATCCGTTTTCGTCTCGACCTCTTGAGGTGTTGTAACATCAACATCTTACGAAATCTTGACGTTTCTGTTTGCGGCTCTTGAATTAAGAATTAAAAGCAATGGCCACGAAAGCCACCACTTTACTTCTTGAAGCGAGCATGGTTTTAGAATTTCCCGCCAGTTCGATTTCATGACGTAGATAATGCAGATAGCGGGAGTGTTGACAGATCAAGTTGAGTTATTTGAGCTAGTGTAAACACTGGACGAATGTACCAAGGTTAAGTAACTTGACCTTATTAAATTTTTACCTTGGTAAAAGCTCAAATGTAAACACGACATCAGCAAATTTCTGCAATGTCACCTTGCGAAACAGGAAACGCAAATAATGTGCAAAAATACATAAATGTTGAAGTGCATGGGGAAAACAACTAACAATGTGCTACCTCGATCATAGACTCTACAAATCGGAGAACCGACATTGCAGGCAAGAAGAACTTTTTAGATAGCATTAAGCACTCGGAATGCATTATGACAGTGCCGTACTTTTGTTTGCAAGAAATAAAGTGAAGATTTCCCATCCTCTCGGGAGCAAGACGTTTGGAAGTTTCTAAGGGGCAAAAATCCATAGCAATGAAAATTCTTCAAGGCTCTGAAATAGATTAAACATGACTTTAAAGGCCACAAAACGTAAGATTTTCCCTCTGGGTTATAAAGAAATATGGTAGATGATAGTATCATTGGGACACTTAGAACAGCGATGTACGTATAAGCGCTATATAAATTCCATTATTATTCTATTATTATTTGACTGTGGGACTGGCAAGGAATTCAGGACGTTCTGATCGGTTCTGTGGCACTTGATGATGAACAGGATCTTATACTCTGCATAGGTATATTACCCCATGTGGACGCGTCCTGGGTTGTCTGTTACTGTTTTTAATTCCAGAATCAAGTTCTGATTTTTCAATGTATGGTTCGCCGTTCTGTGGTTATTGATGCCAATTCTGAAGTTTTTTGAAAGATAAGCGGCCTCCTCATTGCTTTCAGAGTGAGAGATACGCATTAAAAAGCAACAGTTCCTGCTTAAACGATAAGAAAGAATAAATGCATTGCAAGAAATTCTGGTCACTGTGACAGGAACATCAACCGCAACTCGAATCCTTAACCGATGTAAAGAGCCCGAAGTCCTGCATTCAACACATCCTTGGCAATAACCAAGCTTGTGTAGCATCATGGAAGAATATCTGACGGAGGATGAGGGTGGATTGGATAGTGCCTGCTTCGCAAGCCGAACGGATAGGAAATGGGGTGAAGGATAAATTCCCCCTAAAAGTACAGTTTACGTCTTGGATTGTCCGTTAGGTACTCATTGAGTCTCAGCCCTAGAAATGGCATACGATTACTGGCAAGTGGGCATGGGCCCGACAACCAAACAGCGCAGTATTTGGCACAAACAGTGAACTGTGCCAATGAGACCGCATAACATTTGACTCACAATGGCTTACCAGGAACATTCGAACGATTAATTTCTTGGATTTTTAGGAGTTATTGGACAGGATTTTTGGGGGGCCATTTGGATCCACCTATAAGAACCTAGTGATTTAAGAACCCATAGACTGAAATTTGGCCCTTAAATACCCAGAAATATAAGATCCTGCTCAACCTGGCAAAGAAAAATAAAGAAAAATCCCTCCAATTAGAATTCTGGATTTCAATTTTTGAGAAACCTCTAACAAAACGTTATTGTGTAAGCTTATATGTTTTCTTTATTCTCATTGCAAGCATTTTTGTTGTTGAAAATACAAGTGCTTAACCATAATGTATTGGTAGTACAATACTTGTGTCAAGGTGGTACTACGAGAACATGTTAAAAACCTAATCAACATGGGCGGATTTAGCGATGGGCCTCGGTGCCTCGGCTCCCCCTTTTCCTCTGAAATTTTGTATTGTTTTCATAGAATTCCGTCTCTGAAAAATGAAAAGTATCTAGAATAGAGCTGTTTAGTGGGCCAGCCACCCCTTTCTGAATTTTCTGGATCTGCCCCGGATCAGCCTAAATTGTGAAAAGCTACCCTTAAATATATGAACGTGTCCAGCCTGACTTCGAAAATTCTAGGTTCTTATATGTGGGTCCTTACCATAATTATGTTATCGCGTGCAGTCCGAGGATTTGCAAATTCATGTGGCATGGCCACTTCAAAATGTAAGACAGACTACCATTTGAATAACATCACAGCCGAGGAAATATCTTCCGCTGAAGCAAATGAAACTAATCTTATGAGATCTTAACTTAGGACCAGTTTACTTATAAGAACCACTTAAGGAAAATACAGGTAAAAATAATGAAGTTGTAAAATTTTGTTTAAAAGAAGAGCCAAGCCACAACTGAATTAATTAAGAATTTTGACGATGGAGAAGGTTTTTATGGCTTTCATGATTTAACATTTACATTCTCATTTAAATAGTTAATGAGATGTTTCATTATACACGTCATCCATGGATACAGCACAAGATATGCAACTTACCGGAATCTCTATTAGTCTTGCGTAGGAACTAATGTAGAAAAACAATCAATCTCTTTAACCGCTATAGGTAATAAATGAAAAGATAGACTCGAATCATTTCTAATTTTCACATTACTGAGACATTATCTGCTGTCTGAACAACAGAAGTAAACCAATTTGTACGCCACTCAATGGTTTGTTCGTTACTTAACAGTTAATTGAGCTTCCTAGCCCAAACATTCACTTGTTTAAAGACTTTAAAAGTTCTAGGTTTGCACTTATGTAAACTACGAAAAGTTTAATGGAATAATCGTTCCTGCGAAAAAATTCAATCTATGATGAAGCGTCTGTATGGCCTGTATCTGTATGTTTTTATTGCTAAAGCTCTTTTTGACTTGTTTTTCGATTTCCGACTTTCGTTCCTTTAGAGAAAACTAAAAAAAATTTTGAAGCAATCGGCGTATACGTAAAATAAATCTTCACGTGTTCCTCAGTCACAGTTATAGTCTTTAAAACGCTTAGGCACACGGCTACGCCTGAGTCTCAGAGAATCAGATGACGCAAGTGTTCCTGTTTCTCCTCTCGACTTTCAACCTCTGATCCAGCTTCCAATGATGCCTGCTTATGCTGATTGGTCCCTGACTCTAAATCAGTAGAGATCTATCTTCCTCATATTTCTTCAAACGAGTAACATTCCGTTTATAAAGCACACCAGCAGGAGACTTCATTTCAACATGACCACCGCGCTTCTCAACAACTTCATACGGCGTAGCTTCAAATGCAGGGGAAAGTTTATCTGACTTGGGCTTCTGAAGAAGCATTTTGTCTCCTTGCCTAATGTGCGTTTGCTGGGCATGCCTTCGATTGCCTGCATAATCTTTTTCTTTCTGTTTCCTCTCATTGTCTCTGTCTAGAAATTCAGTGTCTTTACTAGCTGGGCAAAAATCTTCTACACCAGGTAGTTTTGACCGGATCTCAGGCCCAAATAGCAGTTTTGTAGGACTCTCCCCTGTGGTCGTGTGGGGTGTGCTCCTGTAACAAGGCAAAAATTTCGGCAGTTTCTTTCGCCAATCAAGTCCTTCAACATGCGCAATGCACATTGCTTTCAATAAACCACGATTCTGTCTCTCGAATTCACCGTTTGCTTGCGACCATAATGGTGTTGATGTTCTGTGTTCAATGTTATTATCCTTGAGGTAAGTCTCAAATTCCTCTGATACAAATTGCCGCCCATAATCAGTCTTTAAGGAAAGAGGGAGTCCATGGGTAGCAAACACGTTTTCCAAAAACAGCTAGTCATTTTACTCGCTGTCACTGACATGGTCACTGTCACTTCGAAAAAACGACTAAAATAGTCCACTACTACTACTACTAACAGATAGTCACCGGTTAGAAGCGGTCCTAACAAATCAGCTGCCAAGTCTTGCCAAGGCAAGGTATTTCAGTCCTTTTCATTGGCTCTGGTGGTAGCGACTTGCTGACACGTTCTGCATCGCTGCTCAACTTGGCGGTCTATGCCAGGCCACCGCACTATTATATAGTTCGAAGTCTCTGTTTTTGTCTTTACTATCCCTCGATGTCCTTCGTGGGCGAGGTCTGATACTTGCTTCCGGTGTTTTCTTGGAGTAACCAGCCTTGCACCCCTTAATACCAGCTTTCCTAGCACTGTCAACTCATTCCTTATGGCCTTGTAGTCTGCTTCACGGATAGTTCTACCAGTTATTTGTGTGAAAGCATTTCCGCAATCTTGTGATTTCCTTGTCTTCAGCTGGCACTTCTTCAATTTCTTGAATGATGCGGCTCTAGGGGCTACATTTTCTGCAATATATCTAATTAACCTGAGATCAGGCCCAGTTTTAGCGGTTCTCATACATTCTCTCTGAAGGCTACCGCTAAAATTGGGCCTGATACAAAGTCTCTCACTTTTGTGCTCGTTACGGCCAGATTTTAGCCGTAACGCTGATTGGCTGTTAGAACAATGCCACAAGATCTGATTGGCTGTCGGAAACGCCGGAAGTTGAAAGCGCTTATTCCTCGCGTGGTTGTTGTCGTGAATGATCCGTCGTTGGCGGAGAGAAGGATCGATTTTAATTTGCTGTCTTTCTTATTATTTTATGGTCTTATGGTAGGAAAATATGCCTTAATATGTGCCAAGGGAATTCAGAAAATTCATATGGTTGTTCATATCTTCTCAGGATTTGCTTTATTTACGGAACTAATGTCAGTGTATCGCGGAGTTGAATCCCTCTGCAAGTTATTTTGATTTACCAACAAACGAGTGCAAATCAAAATACTGTCCATCTTTAAACTGGTTTCATTTGAAAGTTTAGCCGGGAATGACTTCTCTGAACGGGGTACGCAATCGGAGGCTCACTGCGAAAGAAACCTCAATCGCCAATTGTGAAGTATTAGACCAAAAATATCGAATGTCTATTCAAGGAATTTTCAGTGTAGGCATTATTATAAAAGCTGGGCGCTTAAGGTAACAGACTGTTTTTTTTCCTTCGCTTTTTCTAAAAAACAAACCAGGAAAACTGGTGTCCTCGCTCGTTGGCTGTTTGGTTTTGTTTTTAAAGATTTATGTACTGAAAATAGGCTAAAATTGCCGAGGAAAATATTAAGGCAACAGAAAAATAGAAATTTCCGTATTTCAAATTCGTGCACGCCTAGCCAAAATAAAACTAGTAGAACATCGTGTCGCCGTCTTTTCGAAAACTTTTTACCTTCTACTCCAACAGGAATAACTTTCGAGATCTCCCTTAATCTCACAAGAAGTTAAATGTGACTGTGCTGACTGTTTTATTTTTAGCTGAAAAAATTTAACGAATAAAAGCCAGTCTGCTTTTTTCCCACGCGTGAAAAATTTGTATACTAGAAAAACAAGCAACGGAAGTAATTTTGGTTGGCTGATTCGGCAAATATCAATCAATCAAAAAAGTGGGCGGCAGACGTTTCGTAGAAGGTTTGTATCAGGCTCTCTTTTCGTTTCTCCTTGCCTGCCGGAATGTATTTTTCAAAGCGAAACGAAAATAGAGCCTGATCTCAGGTTAATATCTAATGTACTCTTCTGCCACATTGTCATCTTTAACTGGAGGATTCTGAGTCAAACGTGACAAGGCATCAGCTTCATTCTGTGGCCCTGGTCTATATTTACGAGTAAACTAATATGGCTGGAGTCTTAAAACCCAACGTTTAATTCTTGCAGACGAATGGGGATTTACTTGAATAGATCACCTCAAGTGGTTTGTGATCAGTCTTAAGTTGAAAATGTTTTCCATAAAGGTATACATGAAACCGTTCACAGGCCCACACTAAGGCTAATACTTCTTTTTCTGTTTGGGAATATCTTCTCTCGGCTGCTGTTAAACTTCGACTTGCATAATAGACTGGTCTGTAGACACCATCATGTTCCACTGGAATTGCAACAGCAATTACTCTCATTTTTGCATCCTTGTTATCCTTGTTTCCGCACTCGCCAAAGCTCTCTTCAATGCATCAAACGCTTCGCTTACCGGACGTTTCGTACCCACGGACGTTTCGTACCCAGACGATTCGTACCCAAAGTTGAGATGATTCGTACCCAACGCTAAGATGATTCGTACCCAAAGCTTAGATGCTTCGTACCCAAAGCTTAGGTGATTCGTACCCATGCAATAACCAAGTCTTCATGTTGTAAACAGTGTGTTTTCATAGTTTAAGTTAAAGCTTTCACTAATCTGAAGTCTCACCTCCTCTAGTATCGGCGCCGCTCACGCGTCACGAGTCTACACAAAGAAAGTGAGCGGTGGTTAATTTCATCTAACTCGTGTGAGAGCGAACGAGTTAACAAAATAGATCGCGTGAAAGCGCATGAACTAACAAAAGTTTATGATTCGACAAGTTCAGACATCGACATATAAATTGGACCCAGCCGTGAAAAGTGGGAACAAGCTAATTTCGTGTAAGTACCATTTCCTTTTGAGTTGTATGTTAATGAAGAGTCTCACCTCCTTTAGTATCTGCGCCGCTCATGCGTCACGAGTCTACGCAAATGAAAGTGAGCGGTGGTTATAATTTGATCTAACTCGCGCGTAGGTAACGAGTCGTTCTGATTTATATAAATGTTTATTTTAGATTGTTTTGAGAGAGATATGATTAAAAATGTGTTACTATCAAAACGGCAGTTGGTTACGAATCAACTAAGCTTTGGGTACGAATCATCTTAGCGTTGGGTACGAATCATCTCAACTTTGGGTACGAATCGTCTGGGTACGAAACGTCCGTGGGTACGAAACGTCCGGATTCCAACGCTTCCTGTTGCTCTTTTTCCCACTTAAATGTAACATCTGATCTATTTAAACGACGGAGTACTTCAGCAATGGTTGCCAAATTCGGGATAAACTTGCACTAAAATTGACTACTTGACTAGGCCCATAAAACTTCCAACTTCTGCTGTCGCTCTGGCAACTTCTCAAGCCTCTCAGCCTGCTCTTCAATATCTTTAGCATGAAGAATGATGTCATCAGATAATATTACGTCCACCCTCACAACCATGAAGAGCTTGCTGTAGTGCATGTTGGTATATCTCAGGAGTGAATGTTATACCAAACATCAGTCTCTTATAACGGTAGAGACTAGTGTGTGTTGTAAAGGTTGTTATTCCTCGAGAATCCCCACTCTGTTTTAGCTGATGATAACCCCATTTAAGGTCTAATTCTGTGGCTGTCTTTCTGCCCAATATTGGTCTGCCAACTTTACAAATGACAATAAATTCGGCCGTTATTTCTTTTCCAGCTACATTCTCAACTGCCTCAAATTTTTCCAGGGTTTCAAGAGGTTTTGACAAGCCATATGGGTACTAACAGTTTCTGTGTTGACTTCTCTGACTTGCATTTAATACTGTTACTCTTTAACTCTTCCCATGTTTTCTGATCCACAATATTACAAGAAGAACCCGAGTCAAGGACCACATTTCTCACAACCACACCACCAAGTAGCAGGTCAACAGTCTCTGAACCATTCTCTGCTTCCAATTTCTTGACATTCACTACAAAAGCATACTCATCCTCCTCACTTTCCGTACTATGTTCCATATAGTTAATCCACGACGTTTTTTTCTCCTTTGAATTACTTTTCTGCTCTTATTTCGTCTCCGCCCTCAATTTGCTTTGCTTGTGCCTATGAAAGTTCCAGGGATCGTGCAATCCTTCGTGTTTCAGCCAGATTTAAATATTGGCCTTTTGCCAGGAGTTTTCGCCGAAGCTTCGTAGACTTTCATTGATCGATAATTTGATCCCGTGTTCGCTCATTCTTCGAATCTCCAAACTCACAATTCACAGCCGGATTGCCGAGCCGTACTACGAATTGATCGGCAGTCTCGTTTTCCTCCGGTTTCATCTGGCGAAAGGTGTGATGCTCGTACGGTATGTTTACCTGTGGTGTGAAATATGCATCAAATGTTCGCAGCGCAGCTTGGAACTCGTTGTCATGTTTGCCTTTGGGTGCACCAGGATGGATCAGAGTTTCAAACACTTCTTCAACATGCATGCCCACACATTGCAATAGTAACGCCTTCTTACGAACAGCTCCCGGGACTCCTCGATCATCGGCGTAAAATTGAAAAACTTTCTTCCAACGTCGCCATCGTGTTCCAACGCTCGTGCTCTCTACTTTGCAATTAAACGGTGGTGTTCCACGAAGATCATCGTCTGTCGCCATAACTATCGCGCAAATTTGTTTAGCTTTCTTAGCAGACCATTTCTATCCTTGTTGCCAATTAGCCATTTCGGAGTTGTGTAGGGAACTGAGGCGAGTTTCAAATTTGAACTAATCGACAAACTGACACCATCATATAAAAGGTCATGTTGAGATTGATCATTTGACCAAGTTTGGTGCTCTAAGGTTGAACAGGGATTAAGTTATGACTCTTGAAACATGGTTAAAGATCCATACAAAGGTCTATAATTTTGTGACAGCGTCCCCCAAAACCATATAAACTCTTAAAAATTTTTCAGTTTTTCTTTTAAACTGTAAAATTCGTCATGCATCTACTACTTGGAAGGAAATAATTCGAAAATCACTGTGTTTGCTAGCCTGAATTTCATCCGATTACTTCGAGTCGTTATTACTCGACCCTCAGTAACGTCTGAATCGACCGGCCGTTAATGCCGTCCAGTGACGTCACTACTCCTTGACCTTTGCTTTAATTCATGCAAAAAGTAAAACACGATTTTCAAGTGGCAAACCGAGAAATATCGTTTGGAAATGTCTGCATGATACAGAACTGCTTTATTTTTTTCGATTGCAATTCATGTTTAACGTTCAAACTATCAACCGCATGCAGTACAACTCTGAAGCGGTTGTACTAAATTCTATAATCAAACTCAGTCGCAATCACGCAATGAAATAAACACACTGACGGAACACTTAGTTCAAAAACACAATGATTTGCTTTAGCTTTAGTTGAAAGGAAGCTATTTGGTCTTTAACGAAGAAAAAAAAACAAGGAGACGAGAAAGAAAAGCTAACAGAATCATTACACTTGACGGTAAAAATAGCAAGAAGGTCGAATTATAACATTGATCTCAGAAAACTTCGCGTCAACAAAATCACCGGCCGCCGAAACCACAATCCGGCTCTAAATGAAAAACCTACCGACTCTCCGCAATGATTCTTCATTCGCACTTCAATTTAGCATTTCAGTTTCGAAGACAAGGGCAATTTTGCTGTTTAAGATAAAGTTTAAGCTTATCGAAATGTTTGAACTAAACGAAGCAATGCCAGGGATGCGATCCGCTGAATATCAAGCGACAATCCCGCTAAAATTTTTCATAATTATATGAGTTTATTTGGAACCAAATAAAAATTTTTATGTCTCCCCTTCCAATTTCTTCAATGCATGGATTTTGGGGGGTGGGGTCGATTGCGGCTTCAAAGGCTTAGAGGCTCTCGAATGTGAACTTTGAATTATCTTACAATGGTTTACGATCGCATGAGAATCACAAGACCAAAAGTAAAATTACTTTTGGGTAATAATCACGAGCTCCTATCGTAAGGCCACTCAAAGTAAATCTACTTAGCCTCGATCTCATTATCTCGCGGAGACCCTTTATAAGAGGGTGTAACCTTTTGTTAATCCTCTCGGTCTGAAAGCTGACATCAAGCCGAATCTTCGATAGCTGACCCGCTTATCCTTTGAACAAGCAATCGACCCGCCTCCGCCCCAATCTTCCACCTTTTTTACTTGCTTTAGGTATTTCTTGTAGTTTAGTTGCCTTTTTCTTCTGGCCCTCACCTTTGCTAGACCTATAAATTCGTAAACATTATTTCATATTTTAACATTGATAAGATGATTTTGCAGATTTGAATAAAACCGGCCATTAACTTGGCCATGTTTTTAATCCCAGACCATAGTCTCGGTTTTCTTTGTTTCCTAAGTTAGGCGTCTAGCAAACAAAGCTCGGCTGTTGGCAGTAAAGGGGGGTTTATTGTTAGTGTTTCAGTAAACCGGGGAGGAGACATAAACATAATTATTGCGAATGTTTAGACAATCAACCAATCAAAATCACTACCCGGTTTTGCGCGGGTAGTGAATGACGTCACTGGACGGCATTAACGGCCGGTCGATTCAGACGTTGTTGCGAGGAGAAAACGACTCGAAGCAATCGGATGAATTTCAGGCTATGTGTTTGCCCATTTTTAGGAATATCACAGAAATATAACTTGATCCCTGTTCAACCTTAGAGCACCAAACTTGGTCAAATGACCAATCTCAACATGACCTTTTATATGATGGTGTCAGTTTATCGATTAGTTGAAATTTGAAACTCGCCCCAGTTCCCTAAGCAACTCCGAAATGGCCTATTTTAATAACCGGATTTTACTTTTGAAACAACGGATCGAACCAAACATGAACTCAACAAATTTAATCTTATTCTATGTTCACCTTACCCATAGTACACTGGGGTCTATATTGAACTTACGTCACAAACACTTCAATATCAATATTGCATTGCAGAGTAAACATACAGACATTATGCTTTAATTTCAGTTTTCTTCATGGGAACAGATTATCGAAAGTTTCACCAGGCATTTTTGATCCGTTGATGAAATGCACGTTTTTGTAAGTTAATTAAAAATACACGTGTCTGTAAACTGAACCTTGTATACCTATGGCGAAACATTGGTGATACATTTTATTTTTGCTTCTCATTATCAAATTTTGATTAATTACAAAAAAATCACCTACTTGAAGGAAAGACCCCGAAAGAGCAGAGAAAGAGTATTACAACATAAACCTATTTAGACACATCCAATCCTATAATAAATGTTGAAATATATGTTGAAACAATAACATTATAAACATTTAGTATATGCTAAAACAGTGGATAGTGTTTTTCCAACGCTCTGATTGGCTACTCAGTCAGTGAATATCCAATGCTATTCACCTCCACTTCCTCCGAGCGAGCGACGCCAAACTCGCGTGTTAAAAAGTTACGAGCAAAATGGCTTCTCGGTCTTCTGCACAGGCAGCCCCAAAAAAGTGGGAGTTCGTTGGACTTTGAATTTTTAAGAGAATGTACGAAAATAAACAAAATACGTCCTAAATTCTATTATTCGACAAAAATACAGATAAAAATGACTTACCTTGTGTTTGTGTTTTGTTATTACTGTCTCTTCGCCTCTAGAGCCATTTGGAAGCCCTTTTATCGACGTTTAATATTTTGAGTTGTACTAACAGTAAGAAAAATGGGAAGGCTGGGGACTCAGAAGCTGACCGTTCCAGCTCGAAGCTCCAAACTCGCCAAAATTGCCGTCAAAGGATCTGTCGATAATTTGTCTTTCCCTTCTATGCTTCTGGAGTCTCAGATTTCATCATAACCGCTAGCGAAGCGCTTAATTTTAACCTTTTTTCATCAGAGTTTTCTTTCTCGGGATGCGTATGACCGGGCTTTTGGACGTGAAGTAATTAACGGTCGCTCCCAGCTTACGTCACAGCGACAATCTGCCTTCGTCCGGGGGGGGGGGGGCACAGTCCATCGCGAGTTTCATCGCGAGGAGCACGGTGGGAGGGTTCCTGGGTCCATTTGACCAGGGCGTAAGAAGCTAGGGCGTTGAAACGAGTGGGGTCGAGCGATCTAGCTGTGATGCAAGGGTCTGGGTACAACCAAAGAGAAAACAAGATGGCGGACATTATGCTGGACCGTCGGAGAGATTATCTAGCGAACGTTAGCCATTATCCCGTGGCATTCATTTACTGCGAGCAATAGCGAAAGAACAAATTATTTTTTTCTCACGTTCGTTTTCTGTTCTGTTCAATTTTTTCGCCCACGAACAAATATCTGTATTGAATATAGTTCCACTTCCGTGACCTGTATTCAAATTTCGTGAGTTAGTAAGAAAATGGCATCACAACTCAGATGATAGCACTGACATCATTTTTAGACTAATTATATAATATTATCGGTTCTCTACTTCAGTTTAATAGCAAGTTGTGTAATTCATCATCTGCTAAGGCATTTATTTTTTGCTGACCAGTTTCAAGGCCAGATGATCTGTTTTCACTATTAAAGCTTGGATTTGTTGCTGTACATCAGTATTCTTCTCTAAACACCTTATTGAGCTATCTCCAATATTGAGCATTACAGTTGGACAGATTGTGAAGACTAAAGTCCTAGTAGATTTAAAATATAATAAAATCATCATTATTTTTTACCTTGTACACTAATGCTACTTTGCAATGAAGAATAAGTAAGAAGTAATATAATGACAGTAGTAACAGTAAGAAGTAGTATAAGTAAGTATGAAGTAGTATAATAACAGCTTTTTGTAATGAAATGGTCACTGAAAACTACCCATGCAAGACATACTAAGGAACTTAAAAGAAACTAAACATTCACAAGTCTTACATTGAAACCAGCCATTGCTATATATATATACATATATCTTACAGAAACAACATAAAACATTTATATAACATAGAAATTCAAAAGTATATTGCAAACAAGCAAATTATACAGAATTATGCACAAATGAAATACAAATGGCCTGTAACAGCTATTAAACCATTGAAAAAGTGTGACCAGCAACCCTAGCACACTTGTATACTTCATGTCCAGTATGATTCAATTTCATTCTTGGTTAAATTTATTAACTGCAGCCAGGCTTAATCAAACTTGATTCAAAAAATACTTTCCTGTTTCCTTGTCTACAATATATAATATTAAGAGAGAGGACATAATGCTAGAAATATTATACAGTAGTACAATCAAAAGATAAGGCACCTCCAGGAAATCAAGTTGGTCCCTACTATTCTTCAGTCATTTTCTTTTACTCTCTATAAGAGTTACACCTGTCCACTAATACAGACATTTTGTGCCAGTCCCAGTAGTTTCCATCTGAAAGCTGACTGTAGTTTGTGCAACACCACACATAAGCCTCTGACGACAAAAATACAATGTTACACAGCAGTCTTAAATTATTCTACTTGAAATCAAATTAAGACCTCTTCATGTCCTTCTTCATATTCACGGTATTATGAACTCGTTTATCTGTCAGTGTGTGTTCTATTAGTCTTTTCAGGCCGGGTACTCACTGTTGTCCTGCAAAAAATCATTATAAAACCATTACAGATTTTTTTGTAGCCGTTTATCATCATTTGGTTTTGATTGGCTAGATAAAACGCGACCTTCAACCTGTAATATTCGCCAGTACCGACGGCCATGTCGCAGGTGCATCGGCGGCATATGGGAACCAGGCTTAAATCCGAAACTACCTCTGGCTAGAGAACGCTATTTTTCTTGCCCTAACAGCGGATCGAGAGCGGAAAGGCCAACTAGTTCCAGTTCTACTCCGCATCACAGCTGAACCAGAGAGCGCGTATGAGCGTTTCAACGCCCTGGCTTCTTACGCCCTGCATTTGACCGTGACAAAGCGCGCCAAAACATCACGCGAGCGCCTGGCTGTTTACACTCAACCGAGCGACCAAGAAGTCTCCTTCGCCTTCTTTTTGGTTTTCGCTGCTTTTTAATTGAACCCTTTCGCTTTCAATCTAAACCTTTTAGAGTCTTTATAGCAAAACAGTTCTGTTAAGAACTACCTATTTCCTTTCGTTTCATTTTATTGCTAACAATTTTTGTCGAAAAATGGAATTTAGGACGTATTTTGTTTATTTTCATACGTTCTCTTAAAAATTCAAAGTCCAACCAACTCCCACAGAGTTTGGGCTGCCTGTGAGTAAATGAGTTAAACTACCACCTCCACTGAGGTGGATAATTGTTATTTATTTACCCTTTCAGCTCTAGAATGCAATTCTGATCGTTAAGAAACATTGTTTTCAGTTGTTTTTCTTTCTTTTATACCTTTTTTTTTGTAAGGTTTGCTTCTTTTTTATTTGCTTTTATAACTGCTTTGAAAACTGTATTCCTCTTTGTTTTAATTTATCAGAACGCTTAATAACAACAACATCAGCGAGATAGAACCACAAGCTCTCCAAGGACTGAGGACCATAAAGACAATGTGAGAGCCTTTTTCCATAAAAATAATGTCTTTTCTCTTTGGTCAATCAAGAAACTTATTAACTTGTCTTTGAAACATATTATTAGCCATTAAAATTAAAATATTGAAATTATCCACCGAAAAGAGAATTTTAAAAATTCTTTATTATATTTCATTAATTCGTCAAGATTTCTTCAATACAATCGTCTATTGCGAGTGAAAAAGGACGACTTTTCATCACTGACCAGACTAGAAACGCTGTAAGTATTTAGTCAAATCACGTAGCTAAATCATAAACTCACGAAGACTTGAACCTGCCAATCTTTGTTTTTGTCAGCTTCTAAGCTGATAGTTTCCTCCATTTTGACAGTCCTCTGTCAAAACCCCATGTGAACTCATCTTCGTTATTCCCTTCATTTTTAAACTGAGGCAGTCCCGAGACTTCATTAGGGAGCTTAAGCAACAACGACGGCGACGGCTACAAAAACGTCACTTAAAAAGTGAATTTGCACCGCTTCAAACTTTTTCGCGCTTATTCCATCTCGTTTACTTCGTCGAATGTTGGCAAATGTTTTTGGAGTTGAATTCTAAAGGACTGTATGAAAGTTCAGGAAAAGAAAAGAAAGTTGTTGTCTTGTGTTCCCGTCCTCGACAAAACGTGAATTCAGGCACTTTCACGTTGTAGTCCGACAATGACGGCAAAGAAATGTACAAAAAAAGCGTGATGCACGTGCAAAGTTGTTGTTCTGCTAATCAAACCTATTGCTTTTTTGCCGTTCTCGTTGCCGTCCGCGTCGTCGTTGCTTAAGCTCCCTATTAACGCGTCTTGTTTAGCCGATGGCTAATGGAGCAGTGTCATTACAATCACGTTTTTTTTAATTTTGGTCACCGTAGAGTTTCTCCAGCAAAAGGCCCACTATCCCCTGACCAAGGAGCCTGAAAACTATGATTTCATTTCGTATTATTATATAAAAGTCAAATGGGGTTAGAATAAAAATACTTTAGGCCCCAGTTGTTCAAAAGATGGATAGTGCTATCCACCGGATAAATCACTATCCAGCTGTTAAGTATTTGGGAAACCAATTGCGCTATTCACTGGATAAAGATTTATCCATCAGATAGCGCTTTCCACTTTTCGAACAACCGGACAAAATTGCGGACGAAACTCTCTGAAGGCTTTGCGTGTCCTATCCCCTCTTCAATTTGGCCGATTTCTTCGGGAAGGGGACGGATCATTTCAGGTCGTCTGGCAAACAGATTTGGTAGTCGATATGAAACGAACATTAAAATATTGCGTGGAGTTATTGGCCCTATATCTACCACGAATGATTACTTAATTACAGTATTTGACGAGGTAGTTAACCTGCGAGGGAGCTGTAGAAATAATGCCCTTCTAGAGTCCTCACGGGGAAAGCTTCAACTTGTTGCAATTCTCTGCCTGCGTGTAAAAAGTCTTTCCTTGACAGAAAGGAATATACTATTTGTAGATCACCGCGTCAAATGGAAACAATGGATATTTTGAAGGGTTTTAAATGCAACATGCGACAGAAATGAAACTGAAACTTAATTTGCCTTGCGAGTTTTTAGAAACAGAAAATTGTTGTTATCCAACAGTATTTAAAACAAGCAAAGTTGACCTTTTCACGTTCTATAAGTGTATAACGAAAAAATTTTTAGTTATATCCAGTTAGATCAAATTTAGTCACGTTATACTCTCCTGCTATATTCTGGGGGGCAGAGTGGGGCTTGTTTCAAAAGCCAAACTATAAAAATTATAAATTTCTATCCAATTCCACTGGTTAGGAGTAGCTATACACTCAAGCCGGAAAACTGTGAATATCAGTACTTCCTGAAATTGGCAGCCCAATAAACCCCCACCTTGGAGGTCTTGTTTCTCGATAAACTGGTGTATCTGTTCTCTTGCTTTTACAATCGTATTCCGACTTGATTTGACTTGATCGCTTTGGCCCAAATACAGCTTTTGGTCTAGTCGCTGACAAAAGATCAGTAAGGTTCGGAGAGCATAAATCTTGTTAGTCATGCTTACAGTGATAGAGTGTGCTTTTTCGACCAATGTTCCCTGTTAAAAAGCCACGTGGGCCCCATTATTCAAGTCAAATCCAAACGATATTCCGCACCCAAAGGCCACGACATGGGCTAAGGCTACTGTGGTAGGATCAATCACGTCTTGGATGTTTCATCAAATCTTAAAAAAATTATGTAAAAATACGTTTCTTCCTAAACTGCATCAGATCTCGTCTGTCTGAAATTATGTTGTCTCTATTCTGCGTTATTGAACCTGCCAAGAATAATGCGATATATAACTAAGGTAACTGGAGAGAAAAAAAATAGGAAAGTACAAAATAACATAAATAGTAACAGGGGGTTAGCGATGCAGAATACATTGTTGGTGATGTCAAAAAAAACTACTATTGAGATGGAGACAGGTTCAAGACAGGTCTAAATACTAACCTAGGTTGATATCAATAAACCTGTTTTTCTTGCAGTTACCTGTTTGACAACGAAATATCCTTCTTTGAACCAGGATCGTTTCCACACGCACGTCTATCACAACTGTGCGTAGGTCTTCTTTATATTGTCTTGCCTCTTGTATTAGAAAGTAAAAAAAAAACCGTATTAAAAGACAAATAGGTAACAGTTCACGAATTAAGCCTGTGGATTAATCATACAGTAATTCAGCTTTGTGTAAAAGATTTAGATGTGGGTTTTATACGAAACCCAAGACGCTTCCTTGAATTATATCTGGCCTTACTTTGTAGACATCGATCGACAACATAACATTGGTTTTCCTTACTAAACAATGATTTAACAGTCTGATAGCATAATTTGTGCTTTCATTATTGTATAATGTTTCCGCTGTATAGCGCCGCAAAGATCTTGATAAGACTCAGCAATGGCGTGGACTCTGAAACGTCGTACTCACTCATTCATTCCCAGGCAAATTAGTTGAACGTTCATTGCGTTTCTGGTCATAAAAGATAGGATTCGAATAGGATACCCGCAGTACTTCTTAAGGTAGTTCGATTGGATTTTTCAGGGCCAATACCTAGAAAAAAATAAAAATGCCAGCACCCCGCCTTGTTTGCGTGAACAGAAACGGCTAAGGTCTGAGTTCAAGAGAGCCGTACATCCCTATCATGCTCTTTAATCCGTTTGTAGAGCAATCGTTCGCAAGAAATCTTGTAATTAACTCCGTCTTTTTTGCAGTTATTTTTGCAGTTTTTGCATTCCCATCTCAGATGTAGAAAGCGACGGAGAGGTTTAGACCTCATACTCCCCCCCTTGACTTCTTATTGCACATGCATGTCCATTGGTTTCAGCTGCTTTCGTTAAGGTTCTGGGACCACTTTCGGTGGAATAAAATTATAAATTACGGCCCTATTGTCATTGTTCGAATGGAAAACGTTTAAGTTTGCCATTATTTTGTCTGCTATAACTTTGATTTCATGCAAATTACAGGATTTTGTTCAAAAATACCGGTCTGTCGTCATTAACAATCGATGCAAAAGAATTCCAGAGGATCAACGTAACTCTTTACATGTGAGTATATGACCTTGAGAAATAAAATTTGTTATCTTAAAGTAAGTGCAAAGACAGCCTGGTGTACGTAGGGGCATCAAACACCATCACAAACGAAGAGCAAATCTAATAGCTGTTGGTCTTTGTACAGTGTATTGTGTATTTTTTGTATTTTTTTTTTCCATTCTATAAAAAATACACCAGTTGTACAATATATTAATACATGTATATAAGGTTAGCAAAGAAATTAAGAATGGAGAGGGGCAGAAGGGCACAGTATCGCTGACCGCTGACCGTGTAGATAAACGAATTGTATTATTCATTGAAGCTGTATTTTTCAGAAGAGGATTTAATATGTGATCAGCTGACAGCCTTGGTTTAACGAATGTTTTATTGTTAATTTTCCTTTACTAGATATCCCGGAAATCTACCTTCACTTGCAGCAAGAACCAACACTTATGCTGAAGTACTTGATAAAAATGGATTTCATTGCCAAGATAGAAACAGCGACTGGTTTTGCGATCTTTGCCCCGTAGGAACTTACTCACGAGGCGATGGTGTGTCTACAGGATGCCATCAGTGTCCAGCAGGTACAATTATCATCCGAAATTCATAAAATGTCTTTATTTTTCACATAACAGGGGCACTCAACGACTGTTTTCAGTAGACTATCTGTTCGAAGGAGTAAATATTGCTCAGAAAATTCTTTAGCATTAGAAAAGCTAAAAATTCTGAATAACCGTTCCAATTATCTAAACTATTTGGAGTTTTTCTGTTAACTTCCCTACGATTTTCGGAATTGGATTTTCCACATTTTATTCCAAAGCTAAAACTTTCGAGACGGTCAAAGTTCCCCTGAAACATCCGAACAGATACTAGATAATATATAGGGCAGCTCCAAATTAACAAAACAGACTTCTAAAGCATAGACTGGAAATCCATTTTACACATTTCTGACTTGTTTGGAAAGATTCGTTCTTTGGGTGCCCCTAACATATATCCTTGGTCGTCATGTTTAAGAAACAAAACCTTCTTTAAGCCTCTTTTTAAAATATTTTATTTGGCGGTAAATTGTGAGCTTCAACAGCTATACTTTAGTCATGATGCCCTCCAAATTTTTTAAGTGAAACAAAATTGGATATTAATGTACTGCCAGTAATAGTCGTGTATGTTTCACTTTTATGTAGGGTAATCCGGATCCCAGAATCTGGGAAATTTTTATTTTTAGAAGCTGAATTCTGGGCTTTGGAATTTTTGATATAGCTCAAGGAATCCTGAATCCCACTAACAATTGGAATCAGGAATCCAAGTTCCACTAACGAGGAATGAGGAATCTACAGTGTGGAAGCCCGAGTCCAAGACTATCTTGGATTACGTTACGTGGGGTGATATGTTTATCCACTCCGTGAAAGACCATATGACATAACAGTGCGAGCGTGCGTTACAAGCACTCAGTTCATACTTTTAGCTGATTCTTTTACCACATTCGTTCGACTAAAAAAACAACACTTCATTTGTTTTAGCTGAAAAGCTCCTTAATATTACCACCACCTTACTATTACCAGATTATGATACCTTGACGGTGGTAGTAAACTTGATGAAATCGCTTATAGAACGTTTGGTGTTTCAAAACAATGAAACAGCGGCCATGCTGGTGTACCAAGAAAATTCTCTAGGAGTCACTCTATTTTCTTATATGAACACTTTCTTTTGTTTCAATAAATTAACATAGATGCTCGCCATGTGAGTGAAAACGCTCTATAAGTTGCTATTGGGTTTTGCGGTCTTTGCGAGCCGGCTAGCATCCCATGTGGTCGATCGTGTATTCTATTTGATGCCTGTTCGGTCTTTCAATAACTTTAGAAGTTGGTTCGAAGAACCTTGCGAATGCAGCAACCGGAAAATTTTGACCTCCTCAGATATCACTGGGGAAATGTACGAACGTAATCCACAACTTTTGGAGAAGTAGAAAAAGACTAATAAAATATTGAATGGAAATAAGTGGGTTGTGAACCTTCCCATGAGAAATCATTGTTGAGAGTGAACGATCGAACCATCGAAGGGTCTGAATTACTATGTGACTCCACCCACGCAAGTGTTAATATATAACATCGCATTTACTGATGTAGCATGCAGCCTTTATCTGAGAGTAGGTAGCTGATAGCCTCAGAAGGGCAGGTGAGCAGAATCACCGTGGGCTAGAGTGAAGATGTCAGCTTATGTATCCTGCCTGCAAAGAAAGAGAGATCAGCTGTCATTACATGTACTAGACAAGCAGGGGATTACATTGAAATGGCCTATCTATTTGAAAACAATACCTACTGAGGTGGCATCCGACCACTACTATCAAGAATAAGTTGATAAACACCTTGAGATCATGAAAGAAAGAAAATAACATCTCAGATCAAACTTTACAACCTACTATACCCTACTAAGAGACGTGGGGAAATTGAAACCGAAAAAAGTACCTTTTGGTCAGTTTGATATATAATTTACAGCTTCGCTCCAAGTTTGACACTGTGCAGCTGACGCACCTGTAACCCCGATTTACAATCCAATCCAATCGTCGTAAAATCACGTAAGACCCTCTTTAGCCCGGTTAACACTCCCCCTCCAATGCGTAGCGTCTTTGACGGAAAAATTCAGAGAGGAGAAAAGGCAACGGAGCAGGAGGTATTATAGTGGACGGTCTTAAAACAATCGACGCTCTTTTCATAGTCAAAAAGGTTGATGCTTTGGAAGCCACATACCAATAACATTTCCGGAACTCTCCACTGCACTTGAAACGGGAACTTTCCCTAACGGAGCAAGTTATTTACGAGTTGCATCAACTGACTGGATAGTTTGCTGGAATTGGTGGTAGTACCAGAAGCTAACGGCAAAGTAAAAATGTAATTTCGCGTATTTAACAAAGCTTTACACTCTATGCTAACTTGGTCGATCAATCAGAATTTGCAAGCTCGTTGAAAATATGGCAAATCAGACAATCGCCTGAGTCAGAAAACTATCATTTTATCCCCCAGTTTGTAACTTTCCGCTTCAGAAGAGTACCAAATGGGATAATCTTGGTCCCTGAACACTTTCAAAAGTGAATCTCACCAGGAACTGAGGGTGCCCTTGGTCAGGTGGATACCCCCCTCCCCCCTTTAAATCAAAAAGGGACTCTTCAAAAGTGATGGCAGCATAACCTCAGTCTGAATGAAGACAGGTGTGAGTTCCCTAAACCTTCAGTAGAATATCCACGCAGCATTATTGGTCCTGAGGAACTGCATACCACCATACCACACGCCTCGAGAGTTGGCCAGCGTAGAAGAATAATTGATGGGGAGGAAAATACGCACGCGAGTCCCAACCCTCCAATCGCAACGGAACTTTTGTTTTAATGTAATGGAGCAGTTACGAGAGAACAGTTTCCCGGAAGCTAGAAAAAAATACCAGTTTTGACAGGTGCAACTTCGTCAAGAACTTTTCAGAACTTTACCCTTGAGAAAGTGTTTGGTTAATGCTCCAGATAGTTGGAGATGCAGTTCTTGACAAACACGGTCCCCGTAGAAACCCTCAAATGGCAAGCTGAGGGAAAATAGGTGCCAACTGAACCCCTACTGGAAACATCCGAAAGAGAAAAAAAGGGTTGATTTCCAATGGCGGGTAATTTTTACGTGTGTACGTGCGTAAAATTTACGCTCGCAAATAAAATAGAGGCAATGCAAGCAAAAACGCGTCAGTGGAAATCAGCATTAAGGGAGACGACGCAGTCCCTGACCAAGTACAACGCAGTGTTAAGATCAGCAGATTAGTTCAATCGAGAGGGATTAAAACCGCACGAAGGCTTTGTAAACATAGCTAATTACAAACACTAATTTTAAGTTTTTGAATTGAATAGGAATAAAAGAAGGCGATGTGAGTAACAAGTTATAAACAAAGAAACGAAAACGGCGATAACAGACCGCTGGAAAAGTGATTTAAGATTGAACGTTAAATGCAATCATTGACAACAACCTTTTCAGATAAGTAGAAAACTAGCGAGGCAAAATTCAATGAAAAACGGTAGAATCTAGATTCATACAGCAAAAATGGAAAACAAAACTACGAAAAGAGCAAAAATGTCCACTAAACGGCGCATAAAAGCAAGATTGCATTACTTACAGCGCGGTTATAAAGCTAGCTAGTGAAGCGACATCACGAGCCACCTGCTTTGCTTTACTTTAGCGGTTTTCCTGGCTGACTTGCTTGATTCTCCCTTCAGATGTTTATGTCTGAATAATAAAATTCACTTTTCCCTAGCTAATGCTAATAATAGAGCAAGTTTTAAGAGAAAAATGGTTTAAAATGGTTTGAAAATGACGATTTTTGCTCATTCACACACAACAAACAAACTTGTGAATGAAGCTGCCAATGATTCCTCCCAGGTTAGCGGGCAAGATCGTAAAATACCGCCCGCTCTCGGAACCAATCAGATTGCAGGTTTTCGAGGATTCCACCCACTCGCAAGCTTGGAAACAAACAAAGATATTTATTGATGAAATTAAGGAGCGGCTCTGACGTAAAAGTATTCTTACCCTATCCGAGTCAATAAAAACACTTCGAGTTGGCTTTAGTGTGCGGCTGATCAACAAATGTCATATATATTCATCTGTCCTAATATTCTAGGTGGATTTTACCAAGATTCAGTTGCAGCAGTTGGTTTGACATTGGATGGAAATGGCTGTCGGCGTTGCCCTGCTGGGACGTTTGTCCACTCAAAAAATGCACCAGGAAAAGCATCATGGGATTGTAAAGCATGTCCAGAAGGTTAATACGTCATATAAGTGTCTCGTTATTGTTAGGAAGAAGCAATGGGGTCGTCAGTTTTCCATCGATTTAAGTTTTTTTCTACATATTTGCGTCTTTTCTTTTGCTTTATTTTGTTTAAAGGTACATTTTCTGCAAAGCATTAAATACGTTTAGAAGTGTTTTTTTTTTTCAGTTGCCCTTTACGATAATTACATTATTTAACAATTATTCGCCGAAGGCGAAGTTAATATCCCCGAGACGAAGTCGAGGGGATTATTCAACAATATTAACCGAGCCTGAGGTGAATAATTGTTTTAGTATATTCACACGAAGTGATCTCAACAGAATCAGAAAGGAAACCATTAAAAAACGATTAGTTGATTGACGGGTGAATTCATGTGTGAACACGAAGCCGTAAACAGTGGATGCGCAAAAGTTAGATCTTTACAGTATCTTCAAAAATAGCAAATGATGGTTTTAATCTTTTTGTATCGAGTTTTGTAAGCTTTAGCATCAAGGGTTTAAAAGAAAACGTCGAAAATTTATATTACTACCCAATTCTGAGAAGAAAAGTAGACCTTTATTTGTTTCTGTCAACTCACCGTGAATGAGGAAGTTTTTTTTGTCGCTTCTTGCAAATCCTGTCAACAGCGGCAGCTTTAATACGATCAAGGTGAGCGTTGTTTATCTCCTATGTTCTTTGCCTTGTTAACTTGCTGGCACGTACTATTTTCGAAAATATTTGCCTTCCTCTTTTCTCCATAAATTAACTTCTTTTTATAGGCAAAATTGGTCTTGCGAGAAAATCCCGAATTCACAAAACAGTGACAAAGCGGCCTCGTTTTCCTCTGTAGTGGTAAACAAAGCTTCGAGCGTACAAAAAGTCAGCTGCAGTAAGCCACTTCACAATAGATCACGCTGTTTAAACACCATGAAGTCTTTTCTCGCCTTCAAAGTCATCAGCACTTGGATATTCGTGTATTTTCAAAAAGGCTTTACTACGAAACTTTGGCAAAACACCCAGTTCACGACAGCGATTTTGTTCTGCTTTATATTCACCGCCTAGCGCGGTGAATATTTAACAATTATTCTTCGAGCCCGAATGGGCTATTGACTTAGGGGCCATGAGGGCGAGAGGAATAATTGTTTTAGTAAAATCCAACTAGGTGTCGAAAATATCGAGACAAAACAACCTTAGCTGGTTAAAGCGAGACTTTAATCCTTTTTTTGTCGCTAAAAAGCCGACGCTTTTTGGGCTATAACATATAGCCTAGTAGTAGCTCAACCAATCAGAACGCAGCAAGATAATAGACCACTAGCTAGATTTTACTAAAACGTCATAGTCCGAGATAGCGAACCAATCAGATAGTTTGAATTACCAAGATCACTGAGTGTGTATATACGATGGTTATTCGGTTTTCATCGATTGTTTCTGCTTTGGGGGTTTTAGGAGGGGTTGAATGTTCTCCTTTGTCAGTCATGTTTCAAAAATATATCATTGATCTTCCCTTTGTATTAATGAGCCGTTTGGCAATTCATAATTACAACTGAGTTGTAAAGGTAAAGGAATCTATGAAACCGATCTGTAGGACTATGAAACCGATCCGGCTGATAAAGTTAGCATCGTTTTGTTACATCATTTATCAGTGATGAATTTTTGCTTTTTATAGGTACGAATACGACAATGTTCGCTGGGTTTAGAGCATGTTGGTGTTTGAAAGCCCATTACCGCCTAGACCGTTTTGGACCTTGCACAGCTTGCCCTGGTAAAGGGGTTGAGTGCTCCGATGACAAGCTTAATTTATTACGTGGTTTTTACTGGAATTGGGCCGATCATGACGGAAACTACAGTAAATCTACCTACAAGCTCTTGATTGCAAACTTGGCTATTAGAAATGATAAATACAACGCACAAACAACAAGGTTCGTTGGTAAGCTACCAGTAGCTTATAAATGCTTACGAGAAAGTTCCTGCATCGGGGGAATCGACTCACAATGCGCTGAGAGTTACACCGGACCACTTTGTGCCAACTGTCGACGAGGATACTACAAGAGAGCGATATCCTGTCACAAGTGTCCATCACAAAAGCTCATTGCGATCCAGTTTGGAGTACTGGCCTTAAGTATCCTTATCCTTGTCTTGGTAATTATTAAAAGCAACAAATTGTCCACTTCAGGAAGGCGCACGATCGCCGACATATTCCTTGCTCATGTCAAGATTATTATTGGATTTTACCAAGTTCTAGCTGGTATTCTGCAAGCTTTTTCTTACATCAGATGGCCCTCCCAGGTATTTGTCCTTGAGAGTTACATCAGATTTGTTCAACTTAACTTTTTGGAGATTGTCTCCCCGACCTGTCTGAAAGAAAATTTCAAAATGAATGCTTATAGTCATTTCATGTTTACTGTGGCGGCAAACGTGTGCATAGTTATCTTTCCACTATTCTGCTACCTTTTAAGGTTGGCTTGGGTGAAGGTGAAAGGACATCAAAGAGACAAAAAAGAAGACATGGAATCCAAAAAGCCTCATCTGAAAGTCATGTTGTTTCTTCTGTTTGTTGCCTATCCAGCCACTTGTGTCAACATATTTAAGATTCTTCCTATTTCTTGCCATGAACTCTGCCCATTTGAAGGATCCAGCACATGCCCGTCTTTCTTGAGAGCTGACTACACCATTGAGTGCGGAACCAACGAGCACAAAAAGTACACGTGGGCAACATATGCATCGTTATCATATGTGGTTGCATTTCCCATCTTTCTGACATACCTGGTCTGGAAAAACCATCACCAAGCTCAGAAGAGAATTAAAAAATTCACCGCAACAGAAACCAGGGGCAACATGAATCAAATGGCGATGGCAGTATTGTTTTTACACGAGAACTACTCGCCAAGCTGCTGGTATTGGGAAGGTATCGAAATGGCGCGAAAGGTTATTCTGTCAGCTGGCGTGGTATTTGTGGGATCTGAAAGTCGTACGCAAGTTGGTATTGCTGCAATGATTTCCGGTGTTTTCGCAATGCTTCATGGGAGATTTCGACCCATTCCAAACAGATTTGAGGATTATCTACAAATGACGTCCCTTCTGGTGACGTCATTCAATCTTTTGATTGGAGTGCTACTGAAGATACCATCAGATGACGTGACTGGAAACGTGGATGCAAAAAACGAAAACGAGGCCCTTGGTATTTTGCTGTTGATGATCAATGCTTTGGTCATAAGCATTGTGTTTGGTAAGTTTGGGTTATATACTGTAAGTTATAAGTATTATATTTAAGTATTTTACCTTCGTGCTTTATCTGGTTTAAATACATTTCACACTGTCATTAGCACAGTGGGCAACTTTGTGACAGTTCCAGGGCAAAGCTAGGAATTTGTTTGAGGAGGTGCGTTTGAGCACCTGACGTGTTGATAACCGAGACGTCAAAGGAAGAAGAAACTAGGGCAACTAGGCGAGGGAGGTTCGGGGGCATACCCTCTTCACCCTCTCGTTAACACGACAAGAATCATGTTTGTGGCCCAGTGGTGGTGGTATTGGTGAGTAGGCCGCATTATGACATTGCGCCATCTGAACTGAGTGATGAAAAGTTCTGACCACTGATCTGCAGGGTATCAACCATATTATTATTATTGTTCATTCATTCATTCCTCCAAAATATTTCGTCGCTCTGATTGACTCAAAGCCCCCGGCTAATTATTCATGACCAACTGACGTTGACCAAAAGTGGAAGATGCGAGCAAGGAACCATCGATTCGATGGTATATTTGATGTTAAAAGTATGGTATGTTGGCTAGGAAACGAGGCCCCTTGGGCTTTATACCATACCAGGGGCCACTACCTAGTAGTTTATTTAAAAGGGAACTAAAAAAGTGGCGTTCATGGCTATCCGAAGACAAAATACTTGTGGCTAAATTTAAAAATTTCTGACCAAAACTGAACGAAACAAATGTGGGAATACCTAAACCATATTTCTCGAAAAATGTTACCAACTTTTTGAGGAGTATCTGCGAGAAAAAAACATCTTTCTATATCTTGAAAACGTGCCGAGAAATAAGCCAAAGATTTGGAGAAAGGCTGAGAGAAGGAAAGCTTGTTAACAACTTAGAAATATTTCGAATTCGGCATTCGCTGATGGTCTCGGAGGCTATTTTCCACCTCGGCCTACTCGATCTGCATAATTCTACTCATCATACCCAGCCTCGTTCAATAATTGCTAGTTATTTGAACTCAACGACTTTTATATAAGACTTGTCACTGTTCGAAAAATTAGGAAATCCAAAAATTGCTCCTTGGTCGTGGTAACGAGTTGTTTGTATTAACAACGTTATGAAAAACTGTGAAAGGTTTGAACCCAGGAGCCATTTCAAAAGTAGGTTGAGTTTGAGATACCTTTTCTAGACTGTTTGGTCATTCGCGACAACAACAAACTAAAAACGACTATTGACAGAAAACCGACACATACCGACCAATTACTAGACCAGTCTTCGTACAACCCGACCTCTCACAAGGCTACCACCATCCGGACTCTGACGAGACGAGCGCAACTAGTTTGCTACTCACCTGACAGCCTACAAGACGAAACTGATTATCTGAACAACGTTTTTAGTAAGAACAATTACAACACGGACTTTGTTAGACGGAACAGTCACAGTAACACTGATTCCAACACTCAGACCAACTCTGGCCCTGTTACGACAGCGACTATACCGTACATCAGAGGCACCTCTGAAACTATTGCACGTATATTACAACCTTACAATATACGTGTTGCACACAAACCGATTACCACTTTACGGCGACTGCTTACTAATGTCAAGGACAAAGACAAACCGGGGGACGGACAGGGAGCAGTATACAAGATCAAATGCTGCGACTGCCAGGCTTCTTACGTTGGTGAAACTGGCAGAAACCTAAGCACGCTAGAGACCGAACAGAAACGCGCGACGAGGAATGGTGACGTCAACAATCACATTGCTGAGCACCATTTAAAGACGAAATATCAAATTGACTAGGACTCTGCGACATGTATAACGTCTTGTACAGACTACTATCAACGTCTTACTTTAGAAAGCTGGTTTACGAACTTAGAACAAACGCCACTGAATCGTAGCCAACAGTTACCAGCGCCGTACAAACGACTTAATGACGAGATCAAGCAAAACTAACTACAAGAGAACGACTGGAAAACTGACAATTTGACTAACAATAGACGACTGTTTAACTGTGACAATAGACGGATCGAAACGCACCAATTACTGATTACGAGTCCTCATAGCCAATAACATCACGGCTTAACTGACAGACGACCAATAACATCGCGACGTAATTGACCAATCAGATCTATAAACAGAGTATAATACCATCAACTGACGTGATACAACTCACTTTGACTGTGAAGATGACTATCGCACAGGTTGTCGAAACGTCAGTCAATGACAGACTAGAAACAATAGACAACTCCCAAAGCACAAACTCAGCCAAAACGCTAAAAATCTTCAATGTTTACTCAAGTTTGGGCTTACAGAAGATAATGTCACAGTTTTTCAATGACCATGAAATTCAGAGTCCGGGTAGTTAGTTAATCAATTGTGGCCCTAAAAAAATTTGAAGGAAAAAAAACTACGAATTTTTAAGAAAATGCTTTTTTCGTGAGAAGAACTCTTACACGCTGACAAACGTCAACAAAGAGCTAAAACTATAATTTCTATATGTTTGCTTTGCTCGAAATCGCGCGCATTTACAAGGCCCTAAAGCGTTTTGCTGACTTGCAAGGACCCATCTGTTATAACGATGCCCAAAATAAAGGGATGAATCTCATAGTTTATTAGATATAATCGTGTGAAGTTTGCTTATCATTTTCGCATAAATTATGACCTAAATTTGGAAACCGCTGAATTTCTCGAATTGGGTCTTTGCGATTTTGGTGAAATTCTGTTCAGCGCAAGGCACTAATGCGCACTATATGTAGCCGAGAGATTTTCACGAAAAAATGCCGGCAACAGCTGATTTTCGACTCAGCCCTCAAAGGGGCGTGGCATTACAACCAAGTGACATTTACTACGATCGCCAAAAATTTTCCGTTATATTGTAGATTGATCTATATGTTATCCATTCTATGTGTTAGACTTACGATAAAAGTAAAGGTGGGGATACCAGAGAGCTTCAAAGTAGTATGGTACCCCCAAAAAAAAAAAAAAACTGGGTCGAGTCACCTTAAGGCAGGGTCTACGAATACCTCTGCGTATATGAATACGTGTTTCAAAAACTCATTAATAATTCATGGCCTTAACAACCTATCACGTCCGCTAAAATCCGTCACGTGCTCGTGTTTTAAACCCTGGTAAAACACTGTCAAACCAAAAAGCCTGGGGGCGGCATTTGATTTCAGCCTCAGGGGAGTGCGAGGCTGATTGTATTTTGATTCATTGATATTCTTTCTTTAAAAATTTCATCCTCATTAGTATTCTTTATATAAAAAATACTAATAAGGATGACATTTTATTTCACTGGACGTGACCTATGAATATTAATCATCAGCACAGCAACTGACACAACAAATGGTGGTTGAATATCTAATGTTCTTTCAAACTAACACACGCAGTAAATTTATTATTGCAAAAAATTAAATTTTGTTCTTTCACCAATTTAATGAGCCAAAAGTTCAATGACACAGTGGTAATATTGGCTATAGCAGTGTCCAAGCGTTGCACTCAAGACTTGCCAGGCTCGAGTACTATGCAACGCTCGAGTACTACGCAAGCCTCGAGTACTGGATTTTTGTTTACTTACCATTCGGCCATTCCAGAAAAATTTTGTCAAAGAATACTTTTTCAGTGGAATAATTGACTTTGTGGTACCATTTTCAATTAACTTCCTCTCGTCCTCGGCTTTTAGGCTTCCGAAAAGCTCTGGAACAAGACGCTATGTCCTCTTCGGTTAGTGTCGTTCGTAGACTGGAAAATTTCTAAATACGTGTGAGATTTGATTTTCTTACATAATAATTTCGTACGTAATGTTTTTTTTCGTATGCTAATTTGCTAATATGCTAGCGTCATTGTTATCAACTCCATCGAGACACGCTTTTCCAGGAATGTTTTTGAAGCCGTTCAATAAACTCGCGGGTCGGGTTTTATCGGGGTATAAAGCCAGTCGGCTCGTGGCTTTATACCCCGATAAAACACCCCCGCTCGTTTATTAAACACTACTTAAACACGTAAGGACATTTCCAAGAATTCATGTTCCGATTGCTCCTCATTGTAAAATCAAGTGGCGTCCTCTGGAGATAGGAGTTTTAACATTTTCGAGCACACAGTGGCGAGCCGCAGCGATGTTCAAACAGCTGCATGAACTTCACCAGAAACATTCTAAAAAATTTGCAGTGTTCGACGTAAGCGCTTTTACTAACTGGGTAATTTACTCAACGTTAACGTCATTTGAACAATCTACCAGCAATCTTTTTTGTTGCAAATACAATGAAACAAAGACTTAAGTACGTAAAGCAGTTTTGACCTAAAATTTAGTAAAACAATTTTCTTATATCCCTCTCTTTTTTTCAGCTCGATATCTTATCGTTTTCAAACAGTTCCTAATGGATTGCCGCAGAAATCCCCGTTTTAATCTCGGCTGCTTGAACATCACACAGGAAACTCAAGCTGGTGATAACGATGTCAGTTTGCAGGCAATGTCGAATGAATCGCAGCTCGACAAACCTGGTATTAACGAAGAGGAGAACAAAGTCTGCCTGTGCCAAGCTGATGACACCGTGATTGACAAGACGCTCACAGACAGCAAGTGAATTATGCTCATATTTAAAACAGAAGAATGCAAGTAGTATAGTAGGCACCGATTTACCCTCCTTCGGGAGGATGTCCGGCCAGTAAATTGTAGTTAAAAGTAAAAGAATAATAGTTGTTGTAGAAATAGGGGGAAACCTATAGAACTGAGACTGGAGGAGGACAGGAAGCAATAAAAACGAGGAGATGGAGAGAAACATTTCATTTGAAGAAATGACAGTGAATGTGAATGTGGCGTTGCCTTAGGCGGAGGAGGGAAAATAAATGAATTGTAGAGAAGGAGGAGGAGATAAGCAAGTTACTAAAAAGGGGAATGGGAAAAAAGAGAACTGGTAATGAAGTTACTGATGAGACTAAGACTTTGTTAACTTTTGTTTTCATTTGCCATTTTCCCGTTCCCACTTGCTTCTTACCCTTTCGGCGCTTCGCGTTTTGGTAACATCCCTTGAGATAAGAGAGTTAAAAAAAATTCACATAAACATATCGAATTGTTCGTCAACATAGGAAAGTAGAAAAGAAAACATCCCAATGAAGTATTTTGTATTATTCGCTAAAAGAGCCAGTTTAATTTCCCGTTACCCTCATTAATATGTACAATTAAGGCCATGAGAACCTTGTATAAGGAATGTAGCACAAAATAAAACTTGCATTGTGTTGCAGCTCAGTGATTTTTTTGTCCGTTGAAGTACTAAACGCCTTTCTTATTTCAGTCAACAAACCATAACATCGTCCATCAAAAAATCCTTCAGCGTGCCAAACTGCCGAAACATAACACACCTTTTATAATCCCATCGTAATGAGATGACCCCGCATGTCATTCATCTCATCTTCGTTGACATTACAGCATTTGTCTACAAATCTGCAAAAACAGAAGCATTGTGTGGTCCGTACTATTCTACAAAATGTACTCAGGAATACTTGCTTTCGGGAGGTGATGGGCGTTAAAATTCAAATCGTCGTTTGGCCCCTCAATCGTTGTCTATATCCGTTACGGTTTTTTTTCTGGAAGCTCTTCCAAACTTAAAACGCGGTTTAGGGACCTCTACTGACCTGCAGATCTTTTCCTGCGTTGCTTCAAGTAAACACATTTTTTCCTAGCACGCGATATATGTCTTATTGGTACAGTCAACAATAAACAACGTTCAGACAATGAAGTTTGTCAACTTGACCTTGGAACAAGTACTTTTTTTTTCAACACTGCCTGAACTCTGTTTTAACAACCGGCCCACCAACTTTTGGAAGGTACTTTTAGGTAAAAGGGTAATAAAGTACAGTCGGCTCTCTCTTAGAGGACACCCCTGTAAAATGAACACCTAAAGTTGGTCCCTGCTTTGCTTTACCCCCTTCGACGGACATCTCTTTAAGATGAACATATCATGCCTGTCCCAAAGATGTCCGTCTTAGAGAGAGTTGACTGCCGGTATCCATCTAGTCAGCTCTATTACCACCGCTGTTCAGGGAATGCTCCCGCGTCTCAGCGGAACAGAATCAGACTCGAACAAACAGCAGAAAGCGGGAAAACAAAGGTTACGAAGGGAAGCTAAACGTACCGGGGACATGACTCTATCAGAATACAGTGTTCTATGAGCACCCCTGACTACGCTTGGCACAAGAAACAGCAAAAGCAGAGAATACACTCTAAAACCCACAGAACGTTTTATTTGTTTCAACCGATTTTACCGGTGCCAGTTTAACACATTTTTGTTTAGACCGGTCATTCCACCGCTACAATCATGAAATGCATTATACTAAAAGTTCGATTTGCAAAGCGCACCGAAGTGTATCCAAGGGTGACGCAAATCATAACTTGGATTTTCTGGCCATAAAGGACATAATCGCCTGCATGCATTCTTCTGAAAGCCATCGTTCTTCCAGCAAGGCAGCTTCCTGTTCATTTGCCGCATGCAAAAGTTCACGGGATGAGTCGCGGATTAACTGTTTGGACAACTGCAGAGACTAACGAGGTAAAAGAAATGATTGTTACATTTGGTATTTAATTTTAAATACAAAGCTGTCTACCAGGTCAAGCCTCTTGTGAGACCAGGGTTTGTAGCCAGGGCTCTGTTTTAAATCCTCTGTTGATAGGGTAAGTAACTTTGGCCCACCGTCGAGTCCGAGGCTTTCCTCTAACACATCAAGATGTTTACCTTTGGAGGAAGTTTTGCCATTGTTTGAACCTTATTCTGTACTTCGTCAGCGAACTTATCATGAGGAAATACATCGGTTATTAGACCACAGTTGAATGCTTCAGTAGCTGTTAGTTTGCGTCCTGCAAGAAGCATTTCATTGGCCTAAAAACAGTTTTTGTGAAAAAAAGCATGATAAATAGATCATAAAAAACCACAAATAAGATTGAACACTTAGTCATACACACACGAGAATTAAACGGCAAAAAAAATGATGTTACGGCAGATTTCCCAGAATCAGCTAATACCACTCCCTTCAGTCGCCATTCAAAATACACAACAGAAGCAGTACCTTAGCAACTCCCATTATCCTAGGGAAAAGAAAGGAGGAACATCCTTCAGGGCTCTGCCCCAGCTCCATAAATGGTGTGTGGAATGTAGCTTTATCAGAGGCATACACCATGTCGAACAAGCCCAAGACAGTCACTGATATTCCTACAGCTGGCCCATTCACTGCTGCGATCAGCGGCTTAGGAAAATCTATGAAGTGCGCTACAAATTTCCTGCAAAACACTTAAGGTATAAGAACGACGAAAAAAAGGGCCGAGAAATATGGATTTTATCCCTACAGTTGCGTAAGGAGTCGCAAAAGAATCTTTAAAAAACCTGGCTTGATGAATGCTTTTTTTACCGATTTATAGGATGATTATCACATAGCCGCGACAAATGCACCCACCTTCAATTATTGAATTTACGGATTATTTAGTTCATAATGATATGTACGGTCGAAACGGTACTAAAGAACTTTTAACCCTGAGAAAGAGAGAAATAATACTGTAATTTGAAAAGAGGCCGTAAGATCCACAATTACAACATTATTATGTCTTAATACAATAAAGTATAAAAACCTTTCCATAACAAAATAACTGACTTTTTAGTCAGAGGCCAGAATTTATAAAAGATAGAGTAAACAGAATTTTATGTACAATGTCGATGTTGGATACAAACAGTCATGGTTTCACTAAATGGTTGAGAAAATGAATTTAAATGGCAATTTACCAAAGTTAACCACCAAAAGCTCAGCCGCTTCTTTAGGTCAGTGGCCAAAGTCATTAGCATACGCTCATGTGGAACATTGCACCTTCGGTTGTTTATCAAGTTCTCCAGCAGTTTGTAGCAGTTGTGTCGGTGTTGTTTCATCAGTGTAAGAGCAGTTTTTATGGTGGTGGTTTTAAGAGTTCTTCATCCCATTAAATTCCCGTTTTGCTTCCACTAATTCACAAAAAGTGTCGATGGGTGCACTTCTAGCTTTGTTAAGGTGGGCCTTATGGGCACCATTGTTACTACTTAGAAGGCTTCCAACATATGTGAAATCGTCAGTGCACTCCAGTTCCCCTCCACTGACGGTGATTGCGGGGGCTATGGGGGGCATTGAAGTACATCACCTGGGTCTTTCTCAAGTTGGTGTGCAGAAAGGTTTGCTTTGCAGAATTACTTTAAAGTCGGCTAAGAGTGGCCGACATCACTCTTAGATCGTCAGAAAAGTCAAGGACTTCCAAATGTGAGAACAGAGTCCACTGGATTCTGTGGGGACGGTCTGAGGTTGTTTCATGCATCGCTCAGTTGATGGCTACTAGAAACAAGACTGGAGAGGGAATTCAGCACTGTCGTACGCCAGACTTGACGGGGAGGCTTTGTCCAAGTATTCTGGAAGATGACAATACATTGGAAGTGTTCACAAAATTTCCTGGTGATGATAACAATCTTGGGTGGTATTCAAAGTCAAGTTGAAAAACAAGGGAACGTTCCACTCAATGCACTGCTCATTGATGTTCAGGAGAGCAAAAACTCTATCTTTGCAGCCTCCGCCTTTCTGAAATCCAGCCTGTTCCTGCCTCAACTTTAAATCTATGGCACCATCAATCCTTTTGAGGAATAATCTGTAGAAGACCTTTCTGGGAATGGACAGAAGTGTTATGTCTCGCCAGCTGTCACAATTGTTGAGGTCCACTCCCTTCGGAATCCTGTATATAAGGCCAATGCAGTCTTAAGGAAAGACTTTATGATCCTACATCATAGCAAAGAAAGCAGTAAGCAGGTGGTATCTACCTTAGGTAATGAATTCTGCATCAAGCGAATCAATGCCTGAAGCTTTTCCATTCTTCACTGCCTTTGTTGCAGTCTCCCCTTCAGCCTGAGGGGGTGGGTCGGTGTTAATATTGAGATCATCCAAAGGGTCTGGTACGGGAGGCTCATTAGGATCTGGCCGGTTAAGCACTCCCTTGAAATGCCGAACCCATCCTGAACCCTATTCTCGTTTAGTTAGAACTTTCTCTTCTTTATCTTTGACTGGCTTAGTGTAGGTGTTACTCTGTCCTCCAATTAACTGCTTAGTGATCTTGTACTCAATGTTGAGGTCTCCCTTAGTTGCAGCCTTCTCTGCCCCACTAGCTGCATGTAAAAACAATTTTGCACTTAGCAGGCTGCCTTTGGCTTTTCTCTTCCTCTCGTGGAGTTTCCTCCACGTCTCAGGTGTTATCCATGGTTTATCTTTCTTCTTTGTAAAGCCTAAGACACTTTGCAGTTTCTTTATAAACTCTTACGATGCTACTCCAGGGTTGTTGTTGTTTCAACAGTGTCCTGATTGTCTCCATTATCATTTTCACGTGCACTAAAGCAATTCCTAAGCTTAATAGTGTACATGTACTCCTTTTTAAACTTGGGTGCACAACGCGTGTTGATGTCAAATACTTTGCGCTACTGCTAGTTGGTAGGTATTACTTGTAGTTTCATCCAGATCCAGTCCATCTTCGCTCACTCACACAGAGGACGTTCAAGTTAGAGTTCTCTTCCTTGATGACTTGCTGTGTTTTGGCGGATTCGAACATGGTACATCCATTTTATACTCCAATGTGGATGGTAGTTTGGGGTCCTAGAAAGCTCTGATTCACATTTCAGACTTCCGGAGATGGGCTTTCATTTAAGTGGTCGGGGTGCCACTGATTTAGTTAGAGTTTCTATTGGAACAAGGGTTGTGTATAGTAATGTAGCAGTTTCGGTCAAAAGTTCTTGTTTTCCAGAGTAAGTTAACCCCACACCCAACCCCCAACCTGGAGGACCAGGTGCTACTGTTAGACTATCCTCTCCCCTGTGAACTGCCAGGACCTTAAGCCCTCACTGGTATGGATTACTGGGTCATTAAGGCACGCAAGCTCCCCCACCACGACATTGTAACAGCAGAAAGGAGATATGCGTTCTAAAGAATACTTACTTTAAGATTTCTTTGGCATCACTAGCCATCTTCTGAGGACCTTCAGGTGGAATCCTTGTGAAATTACTCAGATCATTCCCACTACAGTAATAATCCCCTGTACCTGTTATCATTGCAACAACACAAGCATCATTCTTGCCAGCTTCTTCTAGTGCTGTCATTAGTTCCTGGTACATCTAAGAAGATTCAACAAAGTTAAATGTAACCTGGTCAGGCTATTACTCATTCAAAAGATTAATGGGCACGCAAGCTAAGTTATAAGATACGTTCACACTATCTAAGTAAGTAGACCTCAAGTATACTTGAATCTTACTTTAGATGTGAATGGGGTTAAGTTTACCTTAAGTATAGCCTACTTTGCGGCGATGGTAACCCATTGCCTTTAAAGAAACTGAAGTGCACTCTCAAGTCTAGTTCCAACAATCCTTACTACAATCGTGGACAAAACTGTTGAGCAAAATTCCATACTTGGCAGGCATTTTTCCTAAATTTCGTAGCCGACCGATTCTTCCCTCCCCCCTCCCCCTGGAAGCAGTGTTGTTGGGTCTTCAAAAGAAACCCGGATCCCCAAGCGTTTGTAGGAAGCAACTTTGAACTGGGAGAGGGGTTTTTTTTTACACAAAGCCGTTGATTTGGAAATAGTTTTGTTGCATTAGGTAGTGCGCATTAATGACAACATTTTCTCAAGTAGTTTTGTCCAGGATTGTATTTGACTGGAAAAGTCGATTTTGAGCATTTAACGCGGGCACATAAATCTGTTCTTTATATATTTTGTACATTTCACAGTACAACTTGCTCTATGGCCTGCCAGCTTACCAGCTTAATAAGCTACAGAGGGTCCAAAATGCTGCCGCTAGGTTAATTTTCCTGGAATCTAAATACTGCCATGTATGACATGTATTGTTAACATATAAGTCTATCAATGACTTAGCACCTTTTTATCTCCAGGAACTTATTAGTCTTAAAGAAGCATGTAAGTACAAGTTACGCTCCGATTGTGATGGACTGCTACTAAAGCCTGTGAAATTCAAGACTTTAACAACGTTAGGAGATCGATCTTTTGCTGCCGCTGCTCCTCAACTATCCGTCTGTGGAATTCATTGCCCTATTCAATTAGGAGTAGCCGCTCAGTAGCATCTTTTAAAAAGACACTCAAGACATTTTTATTTCAGAAAGCTTTTTTGTGATTTTATGTGCTTTTTAATCTCGTTTTTAGTAGGTTTTATGCAGTTTTTTACGATTTAAGTAGTCTAGGTAATTTTTATGGTTTTAGTGTTGACATAATTGTTTTACTCTTTTTGGTAGGTTCATGCACTTTTTGCATGTATACTTTATGCACTTATTATTATTATTATTATTATTATTATTATTATTATTATTATTCTATTTTTATTTTTTAAATATTTTGATTTTTAAGCGCTGATGAAAATAGCAATATTGATATCGGCGCTATATAAGTATTATTATTATTATTATTATTATTATTATTATTATTATTATTATTATTAAATGTTATGGAAAGAGGAGATTTACATTGATCAGGGAAAGCACGGCTTTAAAGTGAAAATATTTTAAGTGAATAATTTAAAACAATAAGATGGACAAATTTAATAAGAAGTGGGCTCTGCCTTTGGACCAAGTAACATGTGTACTCTGAACGTATTTTTTTTATAGTTACTTTAGTGTTAAAGTTTATAGTGTAATGTAATGTATTTGTAATGTATTGTAATGCAATGTTATGCAATGCCATGTAACGTTAGTATTGTAATGCTGTGGAGTATTAATTTTAATAAAAGTTTGAAAAAATAATATATATATATATATAAAATTAAAACAATAAATTCTTGGATTTGATTTGGCTTCCAAATCTATGGTTATAATTGCTAATATCAATTTGTAAGACAGCAGTCTGCTGTAAGGCACCAAAGACAAAAATTATAAATATTATTTCCTTACCTCTAATGTAATTGCATTGTATTTTGTTGGTCTGTTCATACGTATTGTTTGTACCCCATTTTCCAGTGTCACCACCAGTTCCTTGTATTTATTTTCTGTATTGGCTGCTGAAGTATCTGCAGGAGCTGCAGCCTTTGATTCCTCCTCAGTGGTGCCAAATTGTACTGAGAAAAATTGAATACAGATTTAATTTTACTTCTTCATTTAACCTTTTCACACCTGAACCACCCATAACTGCCTGTGCACATCCACCTCCCTTTTACAACCTGTGATGTCATCAGTTTTAACAGTCATAGACACATTACTTGGGCCGGGGGAAGAGATCTTCCAGTCACAGTATGAAGAAAAATACAAAAAAAAAACACGTTAAAGGTGTAAAGTGGACAAAAACACTCAAATGAGAATCATGTTCTACTACCCACCCGCATCTCCTTCCATCTTGTCCTATGATACTAAAATTTTACAATTTTCTCAAAAACATTTTCAGCAAAAAAAGGACCTTAGTAAATACCCAGCAAGAAAATGTGAGTGCAAAAACAAATTAAAGGAGCAGGGAGGAGAGCAAGAAAAAGGTAAAAGTTAAGGGAGCAGTGTAACATTAAACATGCCCAAACTGCAGATATATGTATGGTCAAACGATTTTGATGCAGCAAAAATTTCTTGGATGCATAGATAACCAAATTTAATTACAAATGGTGCTCTGCTGCACACAATATGCATGCAAGGGCTCCACTAAAAGGTGAAACAAGCAGTTCATTAACAAAGTTTGCAATGTTCTCAAAAAGTAATCCCAGGTACCCACCTGCCAAGTCATTAACATAATCTATGTATCTTTGCTGTGCATCATCCTGTAAATACAGAACTAGGTGAGACTTATTTATTGTCCAACAAGCAGTTTGGTTTCCGGAAGGGTATCTCAACTACAACAGCTTTGACCTCATTTGCTGATGAAGTGCTCTTAAACATGGAACAAGGAAAGCTTTTGCAGGGCCGTGTTCATCGATCTAACCAAGGCATTTGACACGGTAGACCATCAAATAATGTTACGCAAGCTATCCGAGATCGGCCTTTCTGAAAGAGCTCTTCATTGATTCCGTTCTTACTTAACTGGTAGACAACAGCGCACATCATGTGGAAATGAGTTATCTGAGGAACTTCCAGTCATGCATGGGGTGCCACAGGGTAGTATTCTAGGGCCTCTGTTGTTTGTGATTTACATAAATAACTTGCCAAATGTGCTTAACTCCTGCTACGCGTCACTTTATGCAGACGACACTGTAATTTATTGCTATGGTACATCCTCAAAGGAGTTGAGTGATAAGTTAAATAACGATCTACTGGGTGTGGCGAAATGGCTTCATGATCACAAACTGACTTTAAATTTGGACAAAACTAAATGCATGCTTATCGGTAGTAATAGGAAAAGCAAAAGCAAAGTAGATTTGACTGTTTCAATTTTAGATCATAGTATAAGTAATGTTCGCAGCTTTAAATACCTCAGTATACATATATCTTCGGATTTCACATGGACTGATCATATTGAACACCTAACTGGGAAAATCAATCAGAGGCTTGGGCTTCTCAAGCGTATAAGGCATTTATTGCCTTTCAGGGCACGTCTACTTTTCTATAAAAGTCTTGTTATGCCCCTTTTTGAACATGCTGATCTAGTATGGGGTGATAAACATAATATTACCCTTATGTCTAGTTTGCAAGTTTTGCAAAATAAGGCCGCTAAAGTTATTTTAAATAGACCATTGTACTCATCCTCCACTGAGGCATTAGCCGTTCTCAAGTGGCTGCCTCTAAAGAAAAGGCGATTTCAAAGGGCGTCTGGAAAAGCCGGAAACCGGAATCCGGAATAGGAACGGGAATGGGAACCGGAACCGGAACCGGAACCGGAACCGGAACCGGAACCGGAAACAGCAACGGAACAGGAACAGCAATGTGAATGGGAACCGATACAAGAACAGGCACATCATTTACTTTAAACTATTTTAATTCGAATTCAATTTATACAAAAAATAAGAAAACTACTCTGGTATCATGCTCCCCCACGAATCTCTTTATCATACGGCAGAGAGAAGGTAGAAAAAGCCGCAAGTTAAATAAGTAAAGCAACAGCTTTGCGAGTGCATCGCGCTTTCTGTCAATTTCTTCACCGCGTATGCACAACTACGACGTAAATGATCAAATCTTAAGTTCTCTTGAGAACGTGAACGGCAGGCAATAAATTTTATTGTGTCTTTCTGAGCTCGGACGCGGTCTCCAGCTTCACTTCCCAACCTTTAAAAGACTGGGCAATTTGGAATTAATGAGAAATAGTTTGAATTAAGACCCGAATTCAATTTCTCAGTGGCGTTTTCGCTGGCATTGCCGTCGTCATATCTTAAGGTTCCTTTTGTCTCTCACACGAACGAAGTTATAACATGTTAATATTATTTGTCAGACCATTTGTATACGAGACACCCATCGGTGACGTTTATTGGGCTGCCATACACCTCTGGTTTGCTCCATAGATATATTGTACGGTGCTAAATTGGGAAGTTGACCAGGGATAGATAGTCCACAGCTTAAAAAGGGTATTAACACGTACCTCCTCCCCCCCCCCACCAAACCCATCCCAGCCAGTACTTCATCTACCTCAACCGCGTGCAATAGAGACCTTAATAAGCAAGCAGAACGTTGACGTCCAGGACATTAAAAATGGAAACTGGAAGTGGATGTTTTCTGTCTTTAGGTGCTCTGACTTAACAAATTCGCACAGTGGAAGGTAAGATCACGATTATATCGTTTTCTTTTCATATATCTATACACTGTTTATATTCACTTTCCTATTCCGGTTCCTATTCCATTTTTTCCCTTATTTTTCGTATATAATCTGAATAGGAATTAAATCCAGATTAACTTAAATTAAGGTAAATGTTGTCCCTGCTTTTATATAGGTTTCTCTTCCCATTCCGGTTCCTATTCCGGTTCCGGTTCCTGTTCCTGTTCCTATTCTCGTTCCTATTCCGGATTCCGGATTCCCGCTTTTCCAGACGCCCATTTCAAAGAAGGTGTGTACACGTATACAAATCAGGGCTTCTGATATTTCGCGGAAAAAAAAGCAAAATTTCGCGGGATTTTCAGGGGCAAATTCGCGGAAAAATCGGCCGATTTCGCGGGATTTTCGCGGGAAAAAAGTCAAAATTCGCTCAAAAATCGGCCGAGTTCGAGTGATTTTCGCGGGAGAAAAGTCAAAATTCGCAGAAAAATCGGCCGATTTCGCGGGATTTTGGCGGAAAAAGTCAAATTTCGAAGGATTTTCGGGGCAAATTCTTAGAAAAATCGGCCGATTTCACGGGAAATTTTGGGGGGAAACTTCGCCAAGAAACAATCAGTAAAAAACAGCCGATTGCGCTGGATGTTTTTGGCAAATTTCGCTAAAATCGATCAATTTTGCGTCGATATGACCAGCATTGTGTAATGTTTTTTTAACAGGGATAATCACTTGCTCTTTCAACCACAGTTCGCTCGAGAAATGAGCGAATGCTAAAGCTGTTAACATTATGGTTAGTGCCCAGTTTTTCGCAACGACGACGCCTGGTAGTTTTGAGACGTTGTTTGCTAGTTGCAGTTACGAAGTTTCAAGATAAATTAGGACGTTTGAGGTGAATAGAACAGGTCTAATAGCCAAGATAAGTATTAAATGTGTTTTGCCGACATGTATTTGGAAATATTTCTGGCGGATTTCGCGGTATTTCGTGTTTTTTTGGGAATTTCGCGGGATTTCGCGGAAATACCTGAATTTCGCGGGTCCGCGACCGCGCGAATTATCAGAAGCCCTGACAAATGCATCAATGGCCTAATTAATCACGATATGGACTTGATTAGACAAGACGTACTTCATAGGCATAATACACGTAACAAAGGCAATTTTAGATTACCACGTGTCAAAAGAAATTGGGGGAAGCAAAGAACATAATATCATGCCGTTTCCGATTTTAACTCCCTCAGTCAGACGATTAAAGACTCAAGGAATGTAAATAGTTTTAAACGTAATGTTTTTAAGTTTTTAATATAGCTACTTACGTTTAATTTTTACTTATACTTATTTTTAATTTTTCATGCATTTTTTGTATCTTTTTAATCTCTTTGCAATTTTATAGCTTTTTTTGTTTTTATAATATATATCTAGTTTTGAGGTCCTTTTTGAAAACCACATCTTTTATGAAAAAGTTTCCTCAATAAAGATGATTATTATTAGACTTTAAAATAATAAACAGAGAAGCAGTAGAGCAACCCAATCCTTGTCAGGTTTGTTGTCATATAATATAGTGGGGCGGATATGGGAAGATTTGGGGCCGGATTGTTCATTTTTTGTTAAAAGCACCAAATTCTCAGGAATGACAGAACTAATTATGACTATTAATATGTGATATGGTGACATCGCAAATTTTTCCTGTTAGACTAGTTTTTGGAGTGAAAATTAAACTGACCACCATTTTGACCTGAAGTAAATATCATCTAACCGAAAGTACACAAAATTAAGCACTTTTTAAAGCCAAAATGACGATGAAATTGTTTATTACATAAACTAATCGTGACTATTAATATGTGATATGGTGCCATTACAAATTTTTCCTGTTAAACAGGTTTTTGGAGTATTACTAAAATGGCCGCCATTTTGACCGGAAGTAAACATCACCTAACCGAAAGTGCACAAAATTTAGCATGTTAAGGTCAAAATGACGACAAAATTGTTTGTTCTATGTTTTTCCGGATATTTATGTGATATAAAAAAGTCAACCGTGTTACAAATTAGCGGTTTAAATGAAAGACCTGGAGGTAAAAGCGGGATAAAATGGAAAATGAAACTCACTCAAAGCAATTCATTTTGGCAGTGAATTTAAAGAAAAATGTGAAACAATGATTCACATTTTTAAGTATAGGAAAGGCCAAACATACGAACAAATTAAACTAGCAAAAAACAGATTATTTCTTTTTACTTGTCCCAATAGTGACCAACATCAATTTTCTTCTGACTCACGATATCCATACAAGGTCAAGAGATTAGGTTTTTAGAATTAATAAAATTATCACCCAAGAGAAAATGCTTTGATCTTTTATCAGATTCTCTCAACTTATCCTTTTAAGAAAATACATAGAGACCAGTTTGAAGAATTTGTAAGGGTTAAAAGAGTTGATCCACTATTCGATGAGAATGCAGAATGCTTTGCGGCTTTCAAAGCAAGTTGAAGTATAATAGCTCCACCATTTTGTTTTATTGAGGAGTATAAATAACACTCTCTGCATGTACATATTGGATTGAAATTACTTTCACAATATAACGTCTGCTCATTTCAAAGTTTACCATTTTCAAGAAGCTTCCGAGAAATCCGTATGAAAGGTAAATGGGTCCCCTTCTCAGCCTACTCTTTACAAACAGTGTTTAGGTTCTTTATCTTGCCACAGCATTTTATATGAACAAGGACCGTGAGACGGGGCCTACAGGTTTTTTTTAATTTCAAGAAGACTAGGAAGTCTAACCGTTTGCAGATGACATCGGGCAGCACTTCTCGTCAGTTGTTTAAAGATCCTGATCGGCAATTGGTTCGGCTGGGGTTTGAAACCGCGGCTTCCCGCTCAGTAGACCGGTGTTTATCCACCTGGAGCTAACCGGGTGGCGGTATAATTCAGCTGTATTTTACTATCAAGTGAATCTGTGCCTTGCTTGACAGAAGTGAGAATAAGTCTCTAATCTTCAATGTAACCACCCCCGGAATCTCATTTAATTATCATGGACTGAGCAGCACTGATTATCATGCTAAAGTCCACACGCAAGAAAATAAGGAAAAAGCGTTTTCCGAATGTCCATTACTTTCGTTTATCCCCTGAGTATGTAAAATGTATTCTCTTGGATATAGTATGTGACAAATATGTCGCGCCGAGAACAGCTTGAAGACTAAGATCTGGGGTAAAGGTGTATCAGGAACTATGCTAAGAAACTGGAAAAAGCTAGTTCTTTTGTAAAGATCGAAACAAGCAGGTGCTTTTTAGATTCCTTGCACATTGAGCAACCCATGTCGTCTAGGGCCAGACGTCCAGTCTTTTCCCTGCGTTGTTTGAAGTCAATTCGCTAGAAAGCATTTATTGTTATGCTATATCACAAAGCAGATTCTCCTCTTTTAAGTCTCTATGTTGTTTGTGTCCAAGACATTTTCGTTGAGTCCACTCTCCATTCTAACTACCCATGAAGTTTCTCTACCATGAAGCCAAATGCAAGTTAGCTTCCCTATCAAATATCTTGTTACTAATGTACATCTACGCTACCTTGCAGCCTACGAGATTGCTAACGTATTTACTAAAAAGGCTGCATTGCACTTCCTCCATTCTATGCATTCACAGGATATGACAAGGTGAATACTTCCGGTAACCTCCAGAAATAATCGGAGTTGTTTTCGCTTACATGTTCTTCTATGCGATAGAAAAAGTAGTTCTTTACCGTCAACTGACGAAGCCAAAAGTAGTTTCTTTGACCCGGCCTGCATTACTTAAACATTTCAAGGGCACAGTGAACCATGCTGGCCACATATGGAGTCAGCAGGCACTGGTAACAAGCATCTCAGTTCCTAGTCTGCAAGATTGGGGCTGGATATCTCTAAGAGGAGAGTGGCGACTCTCCTGCACTCCACTGTCAGAAATTACAAAGTTGAGGGTGGAACTAATCAAGTACATTCATAACAAGGGCTATGCCCAGAAGAGTGACAATCGTGAAAGGCAATCCCCAACTCTCTTTTTCGATTACAAGCACTCGTCTGCATGAAGTATCAAGTTATTAGGTCACCGAGATATCATCTGTTCTTCTTCGATATGAGTCTGTATCATAGCCAAAGTAGGCTCAAGTTTAGTAATGGATTATATATGATGAAAATAGTAAATTGACAGTATACATTAAATTTAAACAAGATATTAAAGTAAAGAATTAGCAGGCACAATAGAAGTTTAAGCTCATTCCTTAAAAGTTCCGACTCTGGTAGTTTTACTTCCGGTCTAGCTGGCGGCCACTTATATCATCTCTATAGACAATTTGCATTGAAATAATATCTCATTGTATGACAAAACAGCTGCCTTAGGCATTTGCTGACATTTTCTTATCCAAGTTGCTAAAATTCAGACGTTTTAAAGCAAATGTTAATTTCACTTCCGGTTCAAAATGGCCGCCATTTTAAAACTCTTATTTTTCACATTTAATGGACTTTTTGGCGATGGCACCATATCCTATCTTTTTTAGGGCCTTGAAAACTATCATCATGCCAAATTTCATGCTTTTAACAGAAAGTGAACAATTCAAGCACATATCTGCTCTACTAATAAAGTAAAAACCAAACAAATAAAAAAGTTTACCATAAATCCATATAATTCTGCTTGTAGCAACAAAAAAATAATTTTTTTTCATTTGGCATTAGGTCAGGAATTAGATAAACAACCTTTGACAAATGGCCAAGATCATTCCAGGCTGTCCACTTTGCTTTCCCGACAAAATCAAATGCTCCTGGCTTGGGATCATTACACTGTCCAACAGTAGCCTAATAACAATAATAGGAGACATCACTGTTTACAAATATTGCTTTTGTTATTCAAATATTGAACAATTAAACAAAAGAATCTTTTGTTACAAGAACTATTGCACTTTTGGTTGGCAAACTAATATCAGTTGAAGTGAAACAAAAGAATCTTTTGTTACAAGAAGTAATGCGCTTTTGGTTGGCAAATTAATATTAGTGTGACTATGGCTATATATTAAAATTAGGTAACCTGCAAATTTTCAGCTTTATATCTCAAAAGACGCATTTGCAATGGTGGCCAGAAAATAGAAGGATTTGTATGGGAACAACACATCTTGCCACCAAGTCATGGTTGGTTATATGCCTCTGGTGTTTTCCATACAAACCCTTGTAAATTTTGAAATATTTTCAAGCTGTTGTAAAATATTTCCTAAAGCATTAGGCAGCTCAAATTTTCTTTCTTCATAACAGCCAATTTGAACCCTTAAATGCGTGAGGGAAAAACTTAACGATAGTTTTTTAAAAAAATTTAAAAATTTACAAGGACTCGTATGGAAAACCACTCAACCGTGACTGGGTGGCAAGAGTTGTTTTTCCCAAACAAATCCGTTTAATTTTTGGCGGCCGTTGCAATCGCTACTTTTGAGATGTAAAGCTGAAAATTTACTATTTACTTTAAAATTTCCAAAAACGGACTGCTTTCGTGTTTACAGAAAGTTAATCAGGTGACTAACTGTTGCAAATATTCCGGGCCAGTAGAGGAGGCTTCTGTTCACAAAGATGACTAAAGACCAGACATTGCACGATCACGTAAAAATTTAATCGTCCTTAGTAATTGACCTTCAAATTCAACATGGAAGGAAAAAATCATTGAAACGAACAATACTAAACTAATATATACTTTAATACCTGCTTGAACAAGGCATACAACTTCAGCTTGTTGTCATTCCCCGGGTCTTGTTTTAAGGTTTTTACTCTTGCACTAGCAGCCTGAAAATCATTAGACAGATCCCCAAGTTTCGGATTTCCGGTGTGAACTGGTCGACCTGCCCATAAACGGAACGCTGACGGACGAAACAAAACTTTTTGTGTACATAATAACGCTCGTAAACATCGCGCCATTTTGCACGAAAGCACAACCAGCATTGGTGACAGATTACATGACCTAAGCAAGCGTGAGCGAGAATCCGCTGTACAATTGCGTGACTGAGAACATGTTTGTGTCTCGGTGTTCTTGAATGCGTTGGTTAGAAATGTTACAATATTTGACTTAGGTGCCAAAGTTCTAGATTGTCGAAATGACCATCTGTGACACGAGGGAAAAACCCTTGAAGAAACAAATGTTACTGGAAACGTAGCCAAGGTCAAGTGCATTATCAGAAAAATGATGCGTTTTCACGAAAGACATGGTACTCACGTAGAGCTTTCACCTTGTAAAACATCTGCAAAGCGCATAAAGAGCTTTGCTAATGCGGTCGTATTCAGTCATCGACCTCTAGTATTTGGTGAGACATTTCTTTTTGAGATCGAAGAACAGGAAAAAGACTGGTCTGGTCATGTGCGCTGCGGAATAACAACTCACAACCCGCAGACGATTAAAAGCGTTCCACCGTATTTACTTCCTGACATGGCGCAAATGGGAAGAACTTGGGTGTTTGCCATCAAATCCACCATACAAAAACCATTAGGAGATGAACAGCTTAGGGACTATGGAAGCCACAACTTTCAACGGCAAGAGGCGGGAGATAAAGACACTAACCCCGTGTTCTGTGGAAAAAAAGCACGTGAAATGCAACTCAGACCCACTGATGTTGGGTCACGTATAGGAGTTAAAGTTAGTCCTTCTGGAGAATTGTACTTTTTTGTGAATGGTATTAAATTTGGGCCCTGTGCTCTTGATGTTCCCGTGGATAAAGATCTGTATGTTGCTGTTGATGTTTATGGAACAACAAAAAAGGTGCAAATCATCCAATGTGGAGGTCAGATTATAACTTTTGACATACAGTATTCTGATGACACCCCACAAACCACTGCAGTCAGCCCAGAACATTTTTCAAAAGGCGGCAAAGTGGGAGGGTGGATAAACCTGATGAAAATACTTAGGTTAAAAAACATTTACAAGAAAATTGCTGAGAATTTCCAGGGTCTTACCTTCAAGATTGGTGAGAGAAATCATAAGTATGGTAACCATCCTGGGGGGGGGAGGGAATCCCTTCTTTGGCCTAAATGGTTATGTGCCACTGAACAGGGTTTGATTGTGAAATATTTGCTTTCAAACTTCGGCTTGTGCAGAAAGCAAAATTTCGAGTTATTGAGTTTAAAAGTGACACAGCACTCTTGACTTTTTCTTTTTGCCTTGTCTCCTCCCCTCTTCTTTTGCTTTTCTTGCCTCATTTTTATCTTTTGCTGGAAAATTAGTAGGCTTCAGTTTGGTGGGAGAAGTTTTTGGAAAAGCTTTTAGGATATTAGATGAAAGGAAAAGTCACTGGGTTCAAAATTTTCATGGGAATTTTCAGGTCAATGTTTCATGGTTTTTTGCCTTTTTTGTGGTCCTCCTTGACTGGGTCACTCTTATTCTGGTATTTTTAAAAAAGATCTCTTCAGCCTGCATAAGGTAGATGACAAAGTTGTTCTTGCTGTTAAAACTGATGATGTCACAAGCAGTAGAAGGGATGTGATTCAGCACAGGTGTTTATGGGAAGTTCAAGGGTGAATGGGTTAACCAAAAACATTAAAATTGTCATTTGCCTATTCTTTCACCCAATTCGGTATTTTATGGTCAGATTTGGTTGTTTTAAGCTTAAGAGTGGATTTTCTTGGAAAACTTAGTACTTTGCTTAACCCATTTGCTCCTGGGAATTTGGCCAAAAAAAATTGTATGGAAGCTAGTTGAGCTGTTTTCTGGTCACTGTCTGGCTTTAAAGCGCTAAAACGTATGACAAAGCCATTCACAGGTTGCTTACTGTGCAACCTTCAGATCCAGATGCAAAATATTAGCTTGCAAAGTTGGGGCATGCACAGAAAGCAAAATTTCAAGATAGTGTTTTTGAGACTAAAAGTGACACATATAGCAGTCTTGACTTTTTCTTTTCCCTTTTTCTCCTTCACTCTTCTTTTGCTTTTCTTACCTTTCTTGCTCTTTCCCAGGGCATTTAGTAGGCTTCATTTTGATGGGAACCATTTTGGGGAAAACTCTTAGGATTACATGAAAGGAAAGGAAATTGGGTAGCTTAAAATGATTTTCATGGGAATTTTAGGGTGAATGTTACATGTTTTTTTTACCCTTTTCTTCGGCTGTCTTGACCGAATCATCCTCTTTCTGCATGGTTTTGAAGAACTCTTCACCCAGCACAAGTTAGCTCACAAGTTGTCCTTGACCATTAAAATTGATGACATCACTAGGGGTAGAAGGGATGTGGATCTGTACTGGTGGTTACAGGCAGTTCAGGGGCGATTGGGTTAAGGAAGTGTATGGAGGTGACATGTCTGGAAAATTTGAATGTAGATACTGGGGCTCATTCATTCATTATTTTTTCACCAACCAATGATTCTTGTCCAAAACAGGATCAGAAGGGGTGGCGAATGGTACCTCCAAAAACGTGGGTCTCGGAAAATTTTGGCAGGATCTCGAAATCTCGGAAGCGTTTTTGATAAGTCTCGAAGTCTCGTTTTTTCATGGTTTGCTTTTACTTTTTTTGAGTCTCGAAACTTTTCACCAAAGAGTCTCCGGCTCGGATTTCTAACTAGGATCTCGGTGTCTCGGCGAGTCTCGGATTTTACCATTCACCACCCCTATCAGAGTTTAAAGGGCTCAGTGACACACCACTACCCAAATTTTCCTTGAGCAGAACTTCCAAAAAATGAATGAAGGATTGTGTAATTTGGCATAACTACACTGTAGAGTTGTTGTGGTTCAATTTTATCCCTGGTTTGAATTTTATTCCTCCTTGTTTAAACTCATTTAAGTATACATTACTATAAAATACCCAGAAACAGGGGAAAATGAAATTTAAACCAAGGATAAAATTGAACCACAAGAAAGGCATTTTAAGAAAAGGAAGGTTTTGTTCCTAGTTTGGTTACAATTAATATTTTACTGTGTTGTTCACATTCTCCTCAAGAAACAGACGGCTGTTTCATTTTGACTTAAAACCAAGTGCAAATATCTTTCTTTCAGTTCCCACACTTGTCGACTTGTGCTGTGAAAACATCCGGAAGTGTGTGGTGAGCCAAGCTGATCTAAACATTCTGCCCATAACATCACAGCTGAAGAAGTATATTGCTACATTTTAACCAAATAGGAGGATGACAATAGAATACTAGTATAAACAAAATCGGAACCATATGCTAACTTTGAAGGCAAAAATATTTATTGTTAATGTTGCATTTTAGATAGGGAATGCAAGAGAGACTTCTTTGGCAAAGAAGTAAAACTATTAAGTAGATTTTACATGTATATAAATTTTTAGGTCAGGATCAAACAAGAAAAAAAAACACAAAGGTTATTTTTATTTAGCTCAGGGTCAGAAACAACAGACACCTTAGCAATATTCCCATTATTTTAGATGTGTTTGCCAAAAAATGTTTTTTTCCAGTTGTGAGACACAAGTGTCATGTTTTTTCCTTATGTATTATATTATCATTTTTTATTAAACCCTTGGTATAATAAGCATCTCCCTTGGTTAGTCCTGACCTCATCCTGGTAGAGTTTCCGCTCTTAACGGTGACAGGATATTTAATACTCTTAAAACAGCTTATAGGAAGTAAACAGAGAATATACGTAGCACCCCAAAAGAATTACTATTATTACCTCGTTATTAACCTTATGGCCTGTAGTCTAGGTAGGTATTTTCTGCTCTCTAAAAGAAATCTGTTCCCAAATATTTTAGGGTATACGCATTTATCTGTAGGGTGTCAAGTAATGCACTTTTGTTTCATTTGAAATGATAAATACAGCAAAAATCTCTGTTTAAACATCTACCTATGGCTGATGCACTAGCTAGGAAGCAAATTACTGTTCAGAACCAAAGTACGTGAGAAACTAGGCTGAAAACAAATTTCCCAAATGTGGAAAAGATTGTTAAAGTTAAGCAGCAAAGATAAAAATAATGATTATTAAGATGAAAAAGTGTTACAAGTTTGAAGAATAATAGTTGATGTATTATAACATAATGGCCATTGATGACCATATCTATACATGAACATGACAGATTATAAGTTTGTGAAAATGGAAGAAACCTGCTTAGAAACCTACTGGACACTAATATCAGAGGAAATAATTCACTCATTAAGGGCCACAACATCTCAAAAGAATAGATGTGAGTATATAATATAAAAACTTTGGTATTTACCCTGCTTGCATACTTGAAGCTAACACCTTCATGAATTAGAAACTGATCAATTTAATTGAACAGGCTGTGATGTCGGTCGGAGCAGATAACAGGTAGTTGTGAGGGACATCTAGCACACTGAGCTACATTTTGTAACTCTTTACTCCTCGACCATGTCATGGTGGGATGTGATGCCATTTAAATCAAACCTATTTGGTTGAAATTTTACATGATACTATTTATTTCTGCTGACTTTACAAAATTAGATTTTTTTCTGAACTTTTCTTTAATGACTATTAGGAGTAAAGAAAGCACTTTGACCTTGGCTTCGATAAAGAACCTGAAACACCTTGCAAGGATCTCACTGACACGTCCTAACCATTGGTTATTACTACCAGACATAACTAATTGATGATCAATGACATCAATTGGTAATCAATGAGTAATCGATGAGTAATCAGTTGATTAGTCATTGATTATTGGCAATGATCAATGAGTAATCGAAGCCCAAAAATTTTGTGGCCTATCGATTACTCGTCGATGACATCGATTACTCATTGATGTAATTGATTACTCATCGATGACCCATCGATTACTCATCATCTTTTATACTACGCACGAAAGACACTTTTCTTGCTTTCTTGTACCATTTTTTTTCGTTTGTGATTCTTTTATCTGTGTTAGACGCATTTTTCCTTGTATCTGGAGATCCTGAAGATCCTGCTTTACAGGAAAAAGGAAACGAGCTGCTTCATCAATCGCAAATAGGAGGACGAAATTTGCACATTTGCAGAAAATGACCCTTGAAGCCTTGTACAAAGACAGCAAGTATCCATCGCACGGAGTTATTGAAGAATTTGCAAAACTGAACAACCTTGACGTGGCAACCGTCAAGGTATGGTTCAACAACAAACGGCAAAGAGATACTGGAGAACCTTCTGAACTTTAATTTCCATGTACTACTTAAGCTGAAAAGAATAAACTGGGAAACATCTGTTTACATTTAAGTTTTTTAAATTTTGTTTTTCTTCGCCAAATATGTTTGCAGCCACGAGATGATAATTATCGATGAGTAATGGATGAAATCAATGACTAAACAATGCAATCAATGACTAATCGATGACCAAAAATTTTGTGGCCTATCGATTAGTCATCGATTACTCATTGATCATCGGCAATAACCAATGACTAATCAACTGATTACCTATCGATTACCTATTGATTACTCATTGATTTCACTGATGTCATTGATGTCATCGATTAGTTATGTTTGGTTACTAGCAATAAACCAACTTCTTAAACAATGTAGGAAATATTTAAAGTGATAACTTGTGCTTCGTAAGCTCTCAGCAACAGGGGCAGATCAAGGAATTTGATTGTGGGAGACTAATTTCACCTCAGATACAAACTGATGATGGGAATATGGGTGTAATACATGCTGTGCACAAGCACAAAAAAAAGGAACCACCACCAACCTACTCCCCTAAGCCCTTACCTACAGAAATCTTCCTTTTTTGATCCAACTTCTGAGTAAACAAATTTTGTCAATTCCTTTAGGTATTACTAACTCCTAACTGACCTTGTACCTTGAATTATTGTTCATTAACAAAAGTAATTAACACAGGGGTTTCACTAATCACCGACAACTGATGAAATGCATCAGCTACTTTGCTTAGAGAAGTCGGCTACTTTTTTCCCAAAAAGAAGAAGTAACTAGTTTGAATAATGTCATGGACAAAAATAGCATTTGTTCACACAAAAATGTACATAACTTAGTAACAGTGAACTACTGGCCCCTTGTTGATACAGTCGGTTACTCTATTCAAACCTGCTGGCTACTTCAATTTTTATTGAAACCCCTGGTAACAAGTTATATATATTCCTCTGATCCAACATTTATCTCAAGGTGAAAATTTACACAAAGCAGCCTTGGCTATAAAGTACATGAGATGAATTCAAATGAATCTTTTTTGACATTAATTTTAGTGTCAAGAATGTTGAGGTTTGACAGTTCTAACCACTATAAAAATTATACCAGAGTACTATGTCAGTCTCTGTTCCTTGTGAAGTACCACTGCTGAATTTGTTCTTTATTACTTGATCAATGCATAGGGTTGATTACCCAGAGTTACATGGTACTGTAATATCAAGAGTACCACATTCTTTGTGTGGTGAAACCGGCTGATAGTGCAGCTGTTTTTGGATCTTTTCCACTCATACTTGGTCCATTCATTGACCCTGGTGTGCCATCACCACGCAATACAGCAATACACTTCCAGTTGTCGAGGTAGTTGGCTAAGAAAAAAAGATTGCACCTTTGAATGACAAAAAATCTAATGAATTTAAGCTTAATTCATATTTCTGTGTATGTATTTCTTGAAAATGCCAATGCACGTAACTACAAAATCTAATTTTGCGACCAGTGAGTGTAATGTTGAAAATGTATGTTTTTCATAGATGGTCAAACCATATGTCATTCAAAAACTCATTTTATAATCCATAAAGAAAAACAAAAGAAATTTTAAGTTTATTGAGTGTCTGATAAAGACATGGCTAATCTTTAAATCCAATTTTTAAGACCAAAATGACCCCAAATCTAAATATATTAGTTCAAGGATGATTTGATCGATATCAAAGATTTTGAAGCCATTCAGAAAACTTGTAGTCTTGTATTCTCAGGTTTAAAATCTTGAGGCGAATACACTCCTGCTTGTCTTTTAAACAGTACATATTCCACTACACACACACTTTCACACACACTTTATTATAATTATTAACAATCTACATTTACATAAAGTCCATAATTTTTCTGCCCACAAATAGCAGGTGCTAGTTGAGGCGGGCGGAGATAATAGTAGTAGCACCTATGTCTCCCAGACAGATAACAGAGGATTAACCCTCATGATATCAACCTAAAACTTGAATTCCAAACTTGTTAATGGTAACTTTAATAGCACGGTTGTCAAAAGTAGCCGGCTGCTGACGAAAATCGCCTCCTACTTGGTTAGTATCAGCTGGCTTCTCTGCTTAGCATTTCTTTATGAATGGCATTTTTTAAATAAGATATCCCAGGACTGGCTGGTTACTTTGACAACTCAGCCGTCTACTTCAAAACTTTCTGACAACCCTGTTAAAAGTTCATTCCTTGAGATAACTTTTCTTTCATTTTGACAAACTAGTGGTAACTCTTATTCAAGTTGTTGTTCATTCATGTTGTACCTTTCCACAGTCTCACACATCCATCATCCCCAGATGAAGCTAAAATGGTACCTGTTACATTCCACTCAACCCTCCAAACCTGAAACAAAAATCACCTCGGTCATTGTGATGGCACAAAGGTCCAGGGTGCAAGTGACATCTTTGCCGGAAATAACAAGTTGCTCAAAAACATTCCTTATTAATTAAGTTTCACAATCATACTTTTTTTTAATAGCAAACCTTAGTATGAGTCACACTGAAAAGAAAATTCTGGGTTTTTTTTGAAGAAAGCAAACTGGTTTATTTTTTGGTGGGAGAATAGCCTAAATATCAGGCATTTCTAGGTGGAAAGGGGAAGAGAGATGTGAAAAAGAGAGACAGCACAGGCAAGACAGACACTTGTAGTTGTTTGTTCAATTAATACATATTCCACCAAAAATTCAATGAAAAGCATTATAAAAGCATTAAAAAATTAAAATTTGTTCTACCTTTCAAAGAATGGTGTTACACTAGCTAAGCCCCTACTTCCCATGTAGACCATCTGTCTACAAAAGCCACTTTAATACTGTACCTTAAAGTTTATCCTCAAAGTGGCTGTTGAAAAGAGGGGCTTATTTATTTAACTGAAGAAATAAACTATGTTTCTAACCTGTGATTCATGGTCACTGAACTGTGCTGCCAGGCTGATGTCAAGTTTAGATAACTTTCCTCCTGCACCACTTCCCTGGTCTCTATTACATTCCAAACAAGAAAAAAGAATAACATTTAATTATATTTCTACCGAGTAAAAGGTTTAAGAATACATTTGTATCGTTTACTTTTTGAGAAATTAATGTGGGAAATAATGATTGCATGATAGGGTCTTAACAATATTAATCATCTGGTTAAACCAAGGTAATTAATGGTACATTATTTTGGTAAGCATTTTGCTGAACAAAATAAGCCTGTTAATGAAGCCTACCGCAATGCTTGTCTCAAAAAAGCATAAGATAAACTGCTTTGAGTTAGTGCATTTTGTGTAATATGGTATAACACATTTTTTACAATAAATTTCAAACTTAGATGGCACTGTATGAAATGTAACTATAACTCAGTCTTACCCATATGGCTTGAGCATCATTATACGAACATCTTTAGAAGCAATAGCCAAGAGATGATAAGACCTATGGTAAAAAATCATGTCAAATTATGAGATAAATGAATTGTGTATACAATGCAATACATGACAAACTGGTTATGAGCACTGGAAATGTATAATTATAAATATATATTAAGGGATTATCAATAAATTATTCACTTAAGTTAAAGCCATTTACCATATGAAAATTTTATAATGATTTAGAGCTCAGGTTTATCCACCTTGACTAGGGAAAAAATGTTATGCCCATTCCTTTTTGATTTTTTTCAATTTTAATGATGGCATAAACCTTTTTTACAGCGAACTTTTAAAGCTTCTTAGTTGCAATCTAGAAGGGACCTATTTTCACTGACAGCCACATAGGAAATGCAAAGAAGTGAATGTCTGATTTATAAAGCTTAAAGAAGAACAAGAAAGTCATTTACCAGCATGTAGCCAAGCACAACTTATATTGCGAGTTCTGCTGTGGTTGAGTACTGAGCAACATGCTTGGAGTTGTTCCCATTCCCTGTCGAGTGTTTTGATCATTTGACACTAAAATAATCATATTTCTAAAGTCACCTTCCAAGATTTGGTGCAAATGCCACATCATTGACAGCATCTGTGATTGCCATAAGAGTTTCCACTCTGTGCCACTTTCTAAAATTAATTAGAAAAATGGACTTTTTATAAAATATGTAACAAATGACAACAACAAATAATGGTATGTTATGTTCTCTTTTCAAAAAGAGTTTGAATATTTCTTTTTTACAGTGTTTCCTTTCCGTTATTGTCATCAAAATATAGATTTAAGTCCCTTGGATAATAATCAAACCTTCACCAACATGCTTGGCACTTAACTGAGTGAAAAGACATACAATACGCTTGTACACGTATCTACCTGTTGGCTTCGTCATATTCATGTATTTGAACTTTCCCTCCTGCACTTGGGTTAGAATCATTGCTTCCAACAGCAAGCATTGGGGCATGCATCCTTAAATACAAAGAACAGCAATAAGTAAGATAGAGATCTACGATCTAAGTTCCATGTTTATTGTTTATGTAATGATACAATTATTTACAATTATTGTACTGACCTGCAGGTGGCTAAGCTAATTGTGGAAGGTCAGTCTAACAACTTCTATTTTACAGTATTGGAAAGAGTCTAGACTTTTTCTTGTGGAAATGGTCTGAATAAATGAGTGTGCAAAATTTAGTGATGTACAAAATAAATTCAAATAATTATATATTGGTACATTTCTTTTGTCTACATCATGGATAAAAAACGTTTAAGTCATACAGTAATGCAGCCTCACAAAGGTGGGTGACCTTACAGAAACTGTTTCTTTATACCTTGATAAGTTCCATGACACACAGCTACAGCTCAGTTTGTGTTGGATTTCATTCTAAAATGAAAAAAATATATATAGCAATAAAGCGATGTTGAAACACCTTGCATTAATTGAAATTGTACAACTGATGTATTATTTTTTATAAAATGGAGTAAACAAGAAATAAAAAATACAAATACAAATACAAAGCAAGGAAAATGTTGTATGGAAAACAGACCTGCAACTGCCACTGACTTAAGTTCATAATATCTGGTGCTTCATAAATTCTTACTGTTCCATCCTTTGAACATGTAGCCTGAAAAATAAAATAAAAAATTCCACTCAATGCCTCTTGTACAATTTGGTGGAGGTGAACATAATTTGTATCATTTGAATACTACAATACTGGTTGCTGGCTTCAAAATCATAGCAAATTAAAAGAAAGCAGCTTTGTTAATATTTTTCACGTAAACATTAAATTTGGCTCGTTGTCGGGGAGCAAGTTAAGGATGGCACAGTAATGAGAGCACTCACCTCCCACCAATCTGGCCTATGCTGAAATCCCTGTTACAGGTCAAAATTAAATTCAGATTGAAATTTTTTAACCCAGGTTGATTCTCGGTTTGCTTTTGTCTCCTAGCCCTGTGAATTCATGTATTAGGGCTAGGAGACAAAGGAAATAGGGAACAACCTAGGTTAAAAAAAACTTTAACCTGAATTTAATTTTGACATGTAACATCACTGCATTGATGCTGTATGTGGGTTTACTTTGGTATTGGTTCCTTCTTTGCTCTGAGAGGTTTTTTCCAAGTACTCTGTTTTATCCCTCACCTCAAAACCAACATTTCCAAATTCCAATTTTTGATCCACAATCCATGGACCATTAAATGATTTCTTAATAAATTCTAAGTGCTTACAATTTCAAATCAAATGAAACTAATTATTTCAACTACATAACACATTTTCAGTTTCATGCAACATAGCATACACAAAACCTCATACACAAAACCTGACAAAATTGTTCATAAGTCAGATACAATTTTCCTACCAGTTGCAGTCCTAAATGTTTTGGGGCAAATTTGACATCTGTCACAGAGGTCCTGCTGTCCACCAAAGATGTTCTTTTTACCTTCAAAATAATCATCCAAATTGTGCATAACAAATATACATGGGTCCTAAGCAAGAGTTATAAAATTACTAATGACTGGGGTGTGGTCAACATGTAAACAACATGAAAGTTAGCTTACCCAGTGACTCTGACCATGTGATATACCATCACCAGTACCTACAACTAAAACAAATTTTAAATAGATTTAACCTTTTGCAGTTTAGTTGTTGACATGATACGAAAGAATACTCCTACAGCCTGGAAAAATTTATATTCATCCTTGCATATCATCCCTTCATATTCATCCATAGCCTATGGTTAAGTTCAAGAGGCAAAGAGAACACATACATGTAGGTGAGTGGTGAAACCATGAAAAGAGGGAAAAAAGAAGAGCTTGCAGCGATCACTAAAGGATTTCCATTTCCACTCCCCAAAGTGAAATACTACTGGCTGGAAAATGACATGCCACACATTAAAAGTACCTCCAATTAATTTTGATCAACCGAGTTGGTCGTACTTATGGTGGAAGGATAACAACTCTACATCAATATTAAAATCAGAATGCACATATCCCTATAATCACCTGATCAATGATATTATTATACTAAAAATACCAAGGTCAAGATGCCTTCCTAATGAACTTGCCAGCATATTTAACTGTCACAAAACCCCCATCATACAGGTGTTGCTTTGAGTTGCAATTACATTACAGGATTGCCTTTCAATGTGTTTAACCAAAGTAATAATTAAATTAGGCATTTGATTATATTTATTTAAATAATTACATGTAATAATTTTTTCAATTATTATGATTATTATGATTATGATTATGATGATGATGATTACTATTATATATAAATTAATTATTAATCAAATGCCCAAGTTTAATTTTGTTTCTGGAACACATACATAAAACATCACTATTTTATTAGCTTATTACTGAATATCACTTGTCTGCTGGTGTTTATTGTATTATACTACTACATGAAAAATTTCTGCAATTTGATTGGCTTAGAGTAGTGGTATTTCAGCTTAATTTGAAATACCTACATGTGAAAATAACAAACCTTTTGCGGGTAGTAGTATAAACAAATAATAGCATAATTTGTACGTGATATTTGGTATAAATACCACTCGTGATATTTCAAAATTGTCTCAAATTTCACTCGCCTAATGGCTTGTGAAATTATGTATAACAATTTCGAAATATCACTTGTGGAATTTATTCCTAATATCACTACAAATCATGCTATTACCTATACTAATACCTACTTTCCAGAAAGAGAGAATACTCTGTTGATATTTTTTGAGCCCTTACCTTGTTCTTCCCACACAGCAGCTGTTCTATCAAAAGAACAAGATGCAAGCACCTGACCAAACTCAGGGTGAGCCCAAGTAACTTTCCACACTGAGCCTGAATGTGTCTGAACAATGGCAAAGAAAAGTATTCACATGAAATGTACCTCACATAACACTTGTCTTGTACATGTAATTGATATCCTTGAAATTATAGTACCAATATAAAAAGCTCTGACACATTCAGACAACTAAGCAGAAGAAACAATAATTTGCTACATAATAAGAAAGTTATAATCATTGCTAAGAATACAGTTTAACTGTTTCTTTACCGTATCAAAGAACTGGAAACTATAGATACCTTCCAACTAGCTGTGCAGTGCCACTGTCCATCTTCTCCAAGATCCCATACCTACATGTATGTACATTGGCAGCAACAGTTTTAGAGATCTTGCAAAATTTTAACGAATTAAAAAAAGTCAATGCCTTTGGCAATCAACAAAAATTTATGGAAGGGACTAAAAGCCCAGGGGGGTACTCTGGATTTCAAGTGACAGGGATGATCAAATGGGGGAAATAATCAAACTCCAAAAAATCCCTAGGGCTTCAAACAAAATAAAAAAAACCCTGGACCAAAATTTGACCCCCCAAAAAACTACTATGCAATGTCAAACAGTCACTTTATTCACAGAACTACATGCCCGCATACACGGGAACTATCACAAATCTTCAGATTGAGGGGTGGCGAATGGTAAAATCCGAGACTCGCCGAGACGCAGAGATCCTAGTTAGAAATCCGAGCCCGAGACTCCTTGGTGAAAAGTTTCGAGACTCAAAAAAAGTAAAAACAAACCATGAAAAAAACGATACTCCGAGACTTATCAAAAACATTTCCGACATTTCGAGATCCTGCCAAAATTTTCCGAGACCCACGTTTTTCAAGGTACCATTCGCCACCCCTAGATTGTTTTGAACACCCAAAAAATTCCCTACTTAAATCAAGCCACCCAAAAAAATACTTGCCAAAATTTTTCTTCCCGACAAAAATCCTGAAATCGGAAATTTCAAACCCAAAAAAAATCCTTCAGTCATCCCTGTCACTTGGAATCCGGGGTATCCGGACTAAAAGAACTAGTCATTCCCTCTTCAGATGCCAGGTACATGTACCCTAGAAGACTGATAATCCAGTTCCTTCTCTAACCAAAGTAGTTGACGTGTTTTGTCTGTGCTTATTGAAACCTCTGCATTTCACTACTGATTTACCCAGAACACGGGTGACACCACTGTGTTACTGGGACTCAAACTTAGTCATAGTCTTGGACCTGGGACTTTCATTTTTGTACTGTTAGTAATATAGCTGGCCATGTAGATGGTTTCTCGAGAGCATCACTGAACCTGTCAAGAGTTGTGTAATGTCAAATTTTCACCTTTACACTTTGGTCACTGGAACAGGTGGCCATTCGTCTTCCATGATAATCATAAGATACATCATGAATCAAATCTTTGTGTTCAGCAGGAATCTCACGGGCGACAAACATGGTTCCCGCGCTCCGCAGCACAAGGCAAATACACAAAAATTAACAAGGATTTTTTTTCTAAGACACTCAGTAACACTAAGAACACACTTTAGAACACGTTACTTTGGTTTTTACACTTGCTGGTTAATAAGAGAAGACGAAAAGTTGACGCAAAGCCGGAAGATCAGGACCAAACAAGCCGATTCTCGATGACGATTTCCGCCAGGCGTATCACGCCAGGTCGGCGAAATACTGGGCGAAATACTAGGTAGAAATTAGCGGTCACGTGATGCTCTCGTCCAGGGTTTGGCTCTACTCGGCCAAGGTGAACCGACGCTGCGAAAAGCTGTGAACACTAGTAAGGCGAAGTGGAGGATTCCGAGAAGGTGCCGTGGAATCCTTTTTCATCTTTCCTACATTATAGTTTTTAACGGTTCTTAGGCCACGATATAGGTTGGAATAATATCGTGTAAGTTTTTTAGTTAGGTATTTCCCGAACAAAATGGCGGATTTAGACGAAAACGCACAGGATAGTTTGTTGGACGCAGCTCTTCACTCCACAAAGGATGACGACGCGGTACTGGGGGACATTTCTGCCGATCCAACAGTAGACGACTCTTTGGAAGATCCGGTAATTCTTGATTCACTTTTGCTAACGTTTGTGTGTGATACTTGCTTTAAGCCTAACCTGGTATATATATTTAGCATGTTTCGTCTGGAATGAAATCAGCGTGGAACATGATAACTGACACCTTTTTCAATTGTTCGAAGGCCGATTAGCGCTTAACCCAGGGTTAAATTTAACCCGGGTTTCTTTTTCTGGTATTCTAAAGCATTTCTCGAATAATTTTCTCTGTTATTGTTAGAGCTTCCAATCATCAACTTGTACACAAAAAGAATTAAAAGTGAAATGCTTTCTGAATTCAAATCTCGCACTAACCCTGGGTTATCTTAACCCAGCTTTGAACAACTCTGCCCAAACTCAGAAGTACAGCTGTACGTACCACGTATAAACAGTTTGATTAAACAATGACGTTGACCTGAGACGGCCGGTTTCTTCAGGAGAAACAATGAGTTGCAAATTTCAGTATGGTTGACTACTCCGCTTTATACATCGCTATCCTTGATCCCCTCCGAGTTTTTTGCCTCATTTGGTAAAGGAACATAAGGGGAACAATTTCAGAATTATGTACCTTGCCACAAATTTTCGTGTGAACTGTGCATTTACCGCTTTTTGCAGTGGGAATATTTCGGTGGCCGGGTATTCCGAAGTTTAGCCACAAAATGATTTCCAAACTGTAATGTAACATGAACTTGAGTGAGCCGTTTACAGTGCACTTTTATTCCACTTTATAACATCAAGATTTTTATCCAGGCCTTCCATTGTTTTCTTCGTCCTCCCATGACAAGAAAACCTGTCAAACCAGGATTTTATAGTGCGTTATGAATATAACTATGCAATATGGTTGTTTTGGGTGCTTTCCATTTACCAACAGATTCCAGGATGTCGAGAATTATGGGATGTAAATGAAACACAGGTTTACCGATCAATGAAGATAAATGGCGTTTAGTTAAAAGCTTTGAGCGAACTCAAAAAAAGATTGGAACACGGTCATGTTAAACCCTGGCTAGACACCATTTGAAATAGCCAGGGTCAAATGTTTGTCGGCAAAACATATCACTTTACACATGAGCCACACATGAATTTCATGGGGTTGAATCCAGGCAGTTTCGTTCTGCCTTCTTTCCCTCACCCCCTCTCCCCTTTCCCCTTTTTTTTTTCATTTTATTTCAGTTTACAATGCCTGTTTACATAACACAATTGAACACACACCAATAAATTGCCTGTTTTACAGGCTTCTATAAATGTAGACTGGTTTTACTGGACAATATGTCTTGAATGGAAATTCCTGTTCCAATTCTTTGAAGCTGTCTTTGATACCAGTTTCGGGCTTTTGTGCCAATTTTTCAGTAACTGGAACTGATTTGCAATCCCAGAATGACGTTTACCAGTCCTGAATTTTGCTTATAGCATTTTCCCATGTAAATGGAAAGTGCCCATACTTTCCACATTGGCTAAACCTTGTGGTGAAATGATGTACAGACCAAGTGATAGTAGTACTTATTAGACTTTTCATGAGAGACCTGTATCAGAGTTGTGGTTATGCAGGTGATATTTTGTTCCCTCTAATGTTGTTGAAGAGTATGGGCAACTTAAAGGAAAACTTTTGTGGTAAACTCCTAGCTGTCTTCTCTTTTAGCCATTCCAAAATATCAATATTTATCTGTCATCTTTCAGCAAATTACAATGTACTAACGACAAAAGAACGTGAAATAATAATTTAACAACATGTAGGAAGCTAGCAATATGGTTTTGATTTACTTGGACTCACAAAGTCATACTTTTTTTTACCTTTGTGCACACCACTGCTAACGACATCATCAATACAAAGTCGTTTCAATGCAAACTTAAAGACAAGGATTTTGATTACTTTATGTATATTTAACACCTGAACAACAAAAACATAATGCAGAAAATTAATATTCCTTGTTCTATAACCCAGTTATGTAAGACTATTCATTCCTTGATCAAATCGATTTGTATTGAAACAACTTGTATCCTTGGAAATGTCTTCATATCAAATCACCAGCAAGCCCACTACGTGAATTGTAGAGTATTTTTGTAGGAAACTCTGTGTTCCATGTCTAACACATTCACCTGGTAAAGGTATTAGTAGATTTTGTAATGGTGGGTCAATTTACATGCATTTCATATATTGTATTTCAAAGCAACTTTTTACATTGTATCTCATCTTGAATATTCCTGTGACGGTATATAAAGGAACTTGAAGCAATAAAAGCAAGGGTTAAAGAAATGGAAGAAGAGGCAGAAAAGTTGAAAGAAATGCAGAAACAAGTGGAAGAAACAATTATGAGTCCCACAGCAGGAGCAGGTCAGCCAACATGTAAGAAAGCATGGATTTTAATTAATCACAGCCTTTATAGTTCATAAAATTGTCATCAGATTTTATTAAAAATGGAGGGAATTGAAAGGGAAAAAGAGTTGTTCTAATGAAATGTTGAGTGGGCATTCCTACTATGATGTGTAATAATTCATGAAGTATGCTGCTGATTGATTTGTTCTGACCAGTCTTTACAATCTAAAGGTCTTAATAGACATAATTAGAAGGCAGTAACCGTAGGAGGTACTGAGTGATGTTTAATATTGGTGAACTTATAAGCAACTTTTTCCTTCTCTTAGTTCCAAAAACTCTCGAAGAAAAAGGTGAAATTGACTCAAGATCAGTTTATGTTGGCAATGTAAGTTAACACTGTACAGTAAGAAGTACATGTACCATATTGATTCAGCTATAAGCCCGAGCGATTTTTATGCAAATTAAAGCTGAAGTTCAGTAAAATTTGAGCCCAATAGGGCGTCTTGGCTTACAGCCAAGAGTTTTTGACCAAAAATATTTTTCCCTGCATTGAAACTCTACTAAAATGGGATGTATTGACTTAAAAGCTGAGTATTTAATACAGTAGCAGCAAAAGGTCGAGTGGATCACATAACTAAAAATTTGAATGTCAAGTTAGCTAAGCACAGAAATCAGTCCCAAATTTTCAAAATACATGTGTCTGACAAAAACAGGTCTCACAACTAAAATCTCACATTGGTAAGCCTTTTACAACGAGGAAAGGTGTAAAGCAAATGAAAAATGTCAAGAAATGTGTAAACATTCTGCCATAAGAAGAATTAGGAAACAATTATCTTTCTAAGCGGTCCACTGAGACCCTCATTCACTCATTTGTCTTAAGTCACGTTGACTATTGTAACAGCCTGCTCTGCACTGGCTGCCGGTTAAATTCCGATCTGACTTTACGATATTACTGTTAACGTATAAGGCTATCAATGGCTTAGCGCCTATTTATGTCCAGGAACTTATTAATCTTAAAGAAGCATATAAATACAAGTTGCGCTATGATTGTGATGGACTGCTACTAAACCCTGTGAAATTCAAGACTTCAACAAAGTTAGGAGATCGATCTTTTGCTGCTGCTGCTCCTCAACTATGGAATTCATTGCCCTATGTGATTAGGAGTAGCCCCTCAGTAGCATCTTTTAAAATGACACTCAAGACATTTTTATTTCGGAAAGCTTTTTTGTGATTTTATGTGCTTTTTAATCTCATTTTTAGTAGGTTTTATGCAGTTTTTTTACGATTTAAGTAGTCTAGGTAACTTTTATAATTTTAGTACAGAATGTTTTTCTAGATAAGGTCACATTTTTTTCGAAAATGGTAATGTTTGCAGTAGTTTAAAGTCTTGTAACAAATAGCTCTCGGCTTATAGCCAGGTGTTTTGGATTTATCTTTTGTTCTTGGTTATGCCGATTCTATGAGTTAAGGGTCTGTGCTGATAGCCAAGATAGGCTTATAGCCGAATAAATAAAGTACATTTTATTATATTTCTCCGGGTAGTTAACATTATGTTCTTGTATTATGTTCACCACAGGTAGCTTTATGCATTGGTATCCCATCACTCCCAATGAATGTGTTGTTGCAGAAACATCTATACTCTTGATAGGGAGAATTTTTGATTTGAACTCACCACTCTGCTGAAAATACAGTCCACTCTCTCTAAGACGAACATTTTTTTTTATTAACTGTGGACTTGAAGCTTCCCCTCCCCCCCTTCCTCCCTTGGGTTTTTCCATTAACCCTCCATTGGGCAAGTATGGATTTTTTGGGAAAACACTATATAGAGATTCAGTCCTGTTTACAGCAAATAGCAGACTCAAGTTGGCAATTTCTCAAATACAAAATGAGCAGGTAAAAACAGTCTAAAACAATTCTTATGGATGAAAATAACATGAAAATACTTACTGTTTTTAGTAGAAGTAAAGAACAGTGTACATGTAAGGCAAGTAAAGGTAAAACTTTGTCATGTGGTACAAATTCATGTTTGCCGTTTGCTGTAAACGTGACTCTAAATCTCTCTTATCTAAAGCTGTGCTTAAAACAGAGATTATTATAAACTCACCTATCAGTAAAATTCCTAAATTTATCTATTTTCCCTTCAGGTGGATTACTCAGCTACAGCTGAAGAATTAGAACAACATTTTCATGGCTGTGGATCTGTTAACAGAGTTACTATTCTCTGTGACAAATTCACTGGACATCCTAAAGGGTATCTTTTCTAAATTCCTGTGCATTATTTGTGTTAATATTGTCACATTTTTCATTTTTCAATCTACTGTTTGTAGATTTGCATACATTGAATTTGCTGACAAGGATAGTGTTGACAATGCAGTCAGTTTGGATGATTCACTGTTCAAAGGAAGGCAGATAAAGGTACAGTTCTTTGTTTTAGAATGACATCAATGGAAATGTCACCTAAATTAAAGTCCATTTTGCAAAGCAAAAGAAACAGACCATCAAGAAAAGAGGTACAGGGTATGTGGTTGGACAGTGCTCAAGGTGATAGTACCTTAATTTTAGCTGTGGTACTTGAAAAGTAATGTTAAAAGGAAAATGAACTTCATATATCGTTTCATACAAGAAAGTACTGGTTGTATTGTATGTGAATTTCAGGTTAACCCTAAGAGAACAAATCGGCCAGGTATCAGTACAACTGACAGAGGTGGATCAAGAGGAAGGGGTAGGGGCCGTGGTTTTAGAGGAGGATACTACAACCCATATAACCCTTATGCAAACTATGTGCCCAGACCACGAGGAAGGGCAATGTTCAGGTTTGATCATCGTTCTTGTTTAAAGGTGTTCATAGTATGATTCTTAGCACTTATTTTTTAGCTTTCCTTGTCTCACAAGTAGCAGTCAGTCACAATGAAGACTAGTGTTTCAGTAAAGATCATGACACTGTTGTCACTTGACAGTTAAGTTTTGAAATTTGTGGTTTTTGAAATGTGTTGTTAGGTTTGATGTAATACATCACCCAGCAAAAACCAAGACGTTTTGGAGTTGGAGTTGTGAAACTCTTCAAGTGCATGTCTCTCCTTTGAAACATTGTGAATTTGATTGTTTCTGCATTACATTGACCTGATCATTTTTTTCATCTTAAAGTTGTGCCTAATGCCTCTGAAAATAAATAATCCAAAGACTGGCGAGAGCAAACTTTAGTTAACACCTTAGATAGATGTTACTCCTTGTTATTTTCCTTTGAAATTCACTCTGAAGGCGTGACCTACCTAATTTAGCCTTTGCTCTCTCCAGGCATACCAAATTTGGTGAATTTTTGATGAAAACAATAAAATGTGAGAGTGTTTAACATACCAAAAAGTGTAAAACCTTGTTGAGTTACATGGTAGCACAATCTCCACCATGCCAGTGTGATATTAGAGAGCTAAGGATCTTTTTGATGGTGTTACATACATCTGTATCAGATTCAAGCTGACAATTTCTCAAATAAGAAAACAATCAGATAAAAATTGTCCACAATAACTCTTATGCATGACGCTTTTGTGTGGACATCTCTCTATTTGTATTATTTTCTCAGTTGTAAATGTTTTGTTTTGTATTTCAGGGGCAGAGGACGAGCAGCATGGTATTCACCATACTGAAAGCTGGTACACAAAGAATAGCCGTTTGCTGTCAAATTCTTTTCGCTTTTTTTTTTTTCATAATATTTTGACACCTTACATGCATATTTTTAACAAAATT